CTGGTCGCGGCGTCGATGAAGGTAATCGTGTAGTTGTAAGTGTTCTGTCCAGGTTCGCGGTTGTACAAGATGTCGCTGTACACTTTCTCGAGCGGTGCGTAAGCTGGTGCGCTTGGATTGTGGTGAGATGGAAATGGTTGTCGCGTTAGGTCTGCTTCGGGGCAGGTGAAGCATGTTCCTCGAGCTCGCTGAAGTTCTCTGCCGTCGGTTAGTAGGAGTGAATCTTTGTCAAGCACTCCCGCTCTGATTGTGTTATTTAACACGGTGTGGCTCGGATGTCCCATTCTTGCGTGCCAGGTTCCTTCGGTGGCGCGGTGTCCTTGAGAACGTCGGTACATGTCGGAGTTGGAGTAGAAGCCGGCGGTGAAGTTGGCGCTGCGGTGAACTTCTCGCGGCGTTGGTTGAAGCTGCTGCGCGGGTGTTGGTGGCGTGTCGTCGATGAAGAATGGTGTCATCGAAGGACCGGCGACTGGTGTTGATGTTCCTGCTGCTGCTGTCGTTGTCTCTGCTGCTGCCGATGTTGTCTCTGCTGCTGCCGATGTTGTCTCTGCTGCTGCCGATGTTGTCTCTGCTGCTACCGACTGTTGAATCGTCGCTAACGCTCTTGTTCTCTCTGTTTCAGGAATGGTGTGTGAGTACCAGAAGCCGCCCGGACTGAAGTCTGGATCAAGGTCTGGAGGGTGCGTCCAATTCGTAAAATTGACGATGGCGTCACTGTCGGCGGTGCCAAGGTCCGGAACGAAGTCAAGAACGAAGACGTTGTTCTTGAGGACCGCCTTCCCGATGTAGAGACTGTCGAAATAGTAGGTACAGTGAGAGGCCATAGCTAGGAGAACCCTAGCTAGGCAAGAGAGAATTGAACGAAAGAGGGGTTTGCACTAGCAACAACGGTGGTACAAATAGCTAACCCTAGAAGGGCTGTACTCGCTATAGAGCACCCCACTGCAGGCTAGAGCATAATATTCTGACACACCCCCATAGCCAAAGTGGGGTGTAATCAGCACAGCAAGCAAAGCAGTACAAGCTCAGGGTGGATCACGATGTCACCACACATTCTGAGCACATGAACAAGAAGCAAAAGTTTAAAGTTCACAATTATGGGTAAAGCTAAAGCTGTCACAGAGGGCAAGCGAGGAGGAGGAGGGCTGGTGAGATGAGAGAAGAGTGGAGGCGACGACTGAAGCTGCAGACACTCGGGCAACAGACGGCTCTGGTGCAACGCTGGTGGCTACCGGGAGGAGAAAGGCCCCAGAATACAGGAGTAACAGGCTCTGCAACTGATCAGCCAGCGACAGTAGCAACGGACCCACGGGCGACAGGTGCAACCGGCTCTCTGAGCTACCGGGAGGAGAAAGGCCCCGGAATACAGGTGCTGCGGACGACACGACGGCAACCTCCGCTCAACCTCCTCCAACTGCCCCACACACCCCCCACACACCCACTGCTGAAACCCTAGCTCCATTCCCACGGCACCCCCCTTAAACCCTAAACCCTCGGCTCCCACACACCACCCCCCTCAGCGGCAGCTGCAGTAGAGGGAGACTAGGGAGGAGGAGGAGCAGGGGGAGGAACTCACAACCGACACCCCCATAGCCGCCACCCCCACACTCCTCACCCCCAAACCCTAACACGGGCGAAAGGGGAAAGGAGCACGGGGGACGACGAGGGGGAGGGCGCGTGGCCACCAGGGCGCCACCACCAGGCAGCGAGGGGCCGTGCGCGGCTCCCCAAAGCGCCGCGACGGGAGATCGGGGCCGCGAGGGGTCGCGCGCGGCTCCCCAGGGCGGCGCGACGGGAGATCGGGGCCGCGGGGGGTCGCGCGCGGCTCCCCAGGGCGGCGCGACGGGAGATCGGGGCCGCGGGGGGTCGCGCGCGGCTCCCCAGGGCGGCACGACGGGAAATCGGGGCCGCGGGGGGTCGCGCGCGGCTCCCCAGGGCGGCGCGACGGGAGATCGGGGCCGCGGGGGGGTCGCGCGCGGCTCCCCAGGGCGGCGCGACAAGAAATCGGGGGCGCGCGGGGGTCCCCCACGGTAGGAAACCGCCGCGCGCCTCGGGGCGCACGGCGGGCAGAAAACCGCCGCACGCCCCGAGCGCGCGGCGGGATGAAAAATCCGTCGCACGCCACGGGGCGTGCGACACAGACTATAGTTGTAGCAGCGGAAGACTTAGGTGGCGGGCCCACCCACAGGATCGACCGAACAGGATCGTCCTACTCTGATAGCATGTCGAAATAGTAGGTACAGTGAGAGGCCATAGCTAGGAGAACCCTAGCTAGGCAAGAGAGAATTGAACGAAAGAGGGGTTTGCACTAGCAACAACGGTGGTACAAATAGCTAACCCTAGAAGGGCTGTACTCGCTATAGAGCACCCCACTGCAGGCTAGAGCATAATATTCTGACAGAGACCTCCTCTCCCGTGGTACAGCTTGAACTCCTGAGTTGTGCTGTCTGCTTCAAGATGAATGCCCTTCGCCATCAACTGACTGACGCTCAGTAAGTTGTAGCCCAAGCCCTGTACGATTAGGACCTTAGACATCTGCAGGATAACGTTTGTCTCTCGTGACTGAAGTTGTACTACGCCTTGTCGTCGTGTGCGCAGGTTCTGGTTGTTGGCGACGGTGATGACGACTTCTCGTTGAAGCTGGTACTCTCGTTGCACGAAGCGTCCTGAAGAACACATGTGCTGTCCGCAGCAACTGTCCAAGAACCACGTGTCTTTCCCGGATGGCTCGCTTTGGGCGATGGCTGCGTAGGTTGGATTCGGTTGAAGTGCTTCGCGGCGAGGTGTCGTTTCATCGAGCTGTTCTTCTGGTGAGTAGTACGGTGGTGATTCCGTGACGCAAGAGTCACTCAGTCTTGCCATGCAGCTAACGATGTTTCTTGCTCCTTGTGCAGGTTGTCCCGTTGAGGTCGTTGAAGCTTGAATTTGAGTCGTCGGGTTCGCCTGTGTTGACGCAACTTGATTGCTTGAGGGTCGTAGCTGCCGCTGCGGAGTTGTTGACTGTTGACGATTCGGGCAATGCGTGCGTGGGTGTCCCGAAGTTTTGCAGATGTGGCAAAAGGGAGGTACGGGCTTCGGTTGCTGCTATCGATTGTTGTAGTTGTTGTAACGTCGCTGAGTGTGGAAGGCAAATTCTGATGCTGTTGTCTTCTTCCTGTGTCGTTCTTCTTGCAGGTCCATGTCCTGCTGCTCGGCGTGGATTTCGGCGCAGAGTGCTGCTTCAGAGATTCTCCCGTGGGCTCGGAGAATAGCTTTGGTGGCGCGCCATTGAGGACCAAGACCGCCAATGATGACCGTCACGAAGGCGTCTTCTGATATTGACCCTCCGCATCGAAGAAGCTTGTCGCGCAATTCGCGACATCGGCTGATATACGCCATCCCCTTTTCTCCTGGTTTCATTTCAACTGTTGTCAGCTGCGCCATTAACCTGCTCTGGTTTACGCTGTCTGTTGCTTGATACAGGCTCTTCAGGTGGCTGTACGCGAGCTCAGCGGAGTTGCCATAACCCCGGTAAGAGCGTATGTTTTGCTGCTGAGTTGGTGTAACGTTTCTCAGCAGAATCGTATACGCCATCATCGATTGATACGTATACTGCTGCTTCTCATACTGTGTGCCGTTTGCTGGATATTGCAGGGACCCGTCGAAGAAGCCAAGTATCTGCGCGCCTTCCATCATCAACTCGAACTCGAATGACCAGGTAAAGAAGTCATTTCCGTCGAAAGGCCTTGATGTCTGCAATTTCAGAACGTGCGCGAACTGTGATTGCACTTGTAACGCGTCCAGTGGTTTATCTTGTCCAGGTGAAGGTTGCGGCATGAAGCTGATCGACCCGCGCTCGTACGGGGCGAAGGTAGGTTGCTGCTGTTGGTTTCCGCGCGCATATGACGACCCGTCGAGGCTCATGGGCGTCGCTCCGTTGTTGCTGTTGTGTGTCTGTGCAGGTCCCGATTGCTGGTGCTGCTCGTAGAAGGACATGAAGGAGAAAAATTTCTCCATCATGCTCTGGTCGAAATTGGCGGGGTGGTTTGTGGGAGTCTCAGTAGATGTCACCCTTGGTCTTGTTGTCGTGCCTTCCTCTGTCTGCAGGCCAGAGGCAGGAGGTGGAGTAGGAGTAGTGCCCGGGGAGCCGTTAGAGGAGCTCCTTTCCTTGCTTGTTGCCATGTCTTGTAATAATTTGAAGGTAGTAGAGTTTCCCCTGTTTGCTCTCATACCATGTTGGGCTGAGATAGCCCCTTAGGATCTTTTCAAGGGAGAACTCTGGGTAGGATAATGTTGTAACAGCGGAAGCTTAATGAAGGATTGTGAACCACCTTGCGCTAGTATGTGAGGGCAAAGTAGATTGATTATATTGAAGAAGTACAAGATTATATATTGATACAAGAAATATGAATGGATGCAGTTATAACTACTTTTACTGTTGCTGTTGCGGTTCGATACAATACGACTCGGGCAACTGCTCTGTAACGAGTCAGTTGTGTGTCCTTAACTGTCGCGTTGTATTTGTCAGGTCAAAGGTCGCTTGACCTTTGACTTTCGCGTAACCTCCAGCAACCTCTCAACCTCCGAGGGTTGACTCGCGTTTGCTTCGGTACTGCTTGCTTCACTTCTGGTGCGATGTTTCGACACGACTGAAGCGCTTAAGTTTCACTGTTTCCAACAAGTACTACTGGGTGTGTTGTTGACCAGAACTAGGCAGTTCAACACAGTTCTACAAAAACACCTCCAACCATCTAATATGCCTAAGGGAATGGCATGGCATGAAAGTTCCAACCTAGAATGTCGGCTGCAAAATAGACCAGAATCGCAGCAGCGCAGTCCAGGTTCTGGTCCAGCCACCTTCTTGCCACTTCATCCGGTACTTAAATCCCTACAAGTGCGCCTCATATCGTATGACATGTTTTTTAGTGACCTCCAAATTTCACTGCAGGTAAGGTCCAGCTCTCCCTAAGCCACCTTGGCTGCTGTCTCATTCCCTCCACTGCGTCATTCCTTCAGCAGCTTCAATCCCTGCGCGTGCGCCGCCTCACCTTGGTCTCACCCCCCTCCTTCGCCTCCTCCTCCACAGCTGCAGGCTGGGCTTCCGAAGCTGCTGCAGGTTTGGCGGGCTCCTCTGCTTTAGCAGGCTCGGTGGTACCCTCGTTCAGCTCATCTGCTGCATCAGCCTCAGCCTTCTCCTTCGCCTCCTCCTCCTGTGGCTCCTCCTTGCTCTCCTCTGGAGCGTCATCAGGTGTGGAAATATCCTCCTTCTTGGCCCTCTCAAGGGAGACCTGCTTGGAACAAGCACAGCAGGGTACACAGAAGAGACAATCAGCCTCAGCCTTCTCCTTCGCCTCCTCCTCCTGTGGCTCCTCTTTGCTCTCCTCTGGAGCATCGTCAGGTGTGGAAATATCCTCCTTCTTGGCCCTCTCAAGGGAGACCTGCTCAGACAGAATGGCAGGAGAAAATGAGAAGTGGACAGGCAAGAATTGTGAGTAAACAGGGGTGGCAACTGAATGTAAAGAGCATCTTTGGGGGGGGGGGGGCAGACTCGCATCAGGCCTCTGATCCAGTTGAGCAACAGCTGCACTGACACGGTGGGCAGGTAAGTCACAATTCGCAAGCCATACGTGCGACAGAAGGCAGACGCATGACAGAAGCCCGGCGCATGATAGAAGACCAGCGCATGACAGAGGCACGAAAGGGAGAGTCACACCAGCCATGCGCCCACCTCCACACAAGTGCAAGTCCTGAGCTCACCTCGCCTCATCCCACATTCCAACCCCAACCTAACTCCGACACCATTTACTCGCACAAGGCCATGGGAGGAAGTGGTAAACTCAGATCAAACAGCACCCCAAGTCCTGAGTTCACCGTACTTCCTCCCACAACCCCAACCCCTAAGTCCGACCTAACCTCCTTCCACCTCGCCTCATACTCCGCCCTGCATCATCTCACACCTTACCCCCAGCCCCTGGCCTCACTTCCCCCCCATAGCTCCCAACCCTTCCGCCCAATCTCACTTCCTCCCACATCCCCAAGTCCTGAGCTTACCTGGCCTGCAGGTCGCTTGGGGGAGGAGAGCAGAACAGAGACGAGCAGCAGGAAAGGCACGAGGGGGATGAGGACGATGATGCCCCCCCTCCGCCCATGTGCAAGTGCTGACCTCACCTCGCCTCATACTCAGCCCTGCATCATCCCATACCTTACCCCCAAGCCCTGAGCTTACCTGACCAGCCGGCAGCTTGGGAGAGGAGAGCAGGACAGAGACGAGCAGCAGGAAAGGCACGAGGGGGATGAGGATGATGATACCCACTGCTGCATATGGGTACTTGGCCGCCTCTGCTAGGATGGCCTGGATAGCGGGAGAGGGATTGGAAGAGAGGGGGATGTTGGGAGAGAGAATGGTGTGTGTTACAGTTTATTAGAGGATGATGATGCCCACTGCTGCGTATGGGTATTTGGCCGCCTCTGCTAGGATGGCCTGGGGGAGCGACGAGAAGAGGCAGGGAAGGTGGACGTTAGAAAGGTGTGGTTTGGTTTATCAAGAAATGTGAACAGCCACAGCACCACACGGGGACTTGGGATATGATCACAGGTGGGAGAGTAGAATAGGTGGGAGCGCAAAGCGACAGAGATGGAGGAGACATGTGACCGCGAGTGTGAAGTGGAGGAGAGAGGGAGGGAGGCGGGTTTATCAAGGGATGTGAACAGCCACAGCACCACACGGGGACTTGGGATATGATCACAGGTGGGAGAGTAGAATAGGTGGGAGCGCAAAGCGACAGAGATGGAGGAGACATGTGACCGCGAGTGTGAAGTGGAGGAGAGAGGGAGGGAGGCGGGTTTATCAAGGGATGTGAACAGCCACAGCACCATACGGGGGCTTGGGATATGATCACAGGTGGGAGAGTAAAACAGGTGGGAGTGCAAAGCGACAGAGGTGGAGGAGACATGTGACCGCGAAGGGGCAGGAGAGAGGGAGGGAGGAGGGTTTATTGAGGGATGTAAACAGCCACGGCACCATACGGGGACTTGGGATATGATCACAGGAGGGAGAGCAAAGCGACAGAGATGGAGGAGACATTTGACCGAAAGTGTGAAGGGGCAGGAGAGAGAGAGAGAGAGGGAGGAGGGATGGTTCGAGGGGTAGTGAAAGGGGGTGTGAGGGGTGGACAGGGGTAGGGAGGGGTTGAAAGAGGAGGTGATGGAGCAGGGTGGAGGGGGGATTGGGAGGGGGAGAGGGGTTGGGCAACGCACCTTGATCTGGGGGCGAACGGGCTTGAGCCTACTTTTGAGTCGACTCAAAAGTTTGGGAGGGGTACAACGCAGCTTGAGCTGGGTGCGAACGGGCTTGAGCCTACTATTGAGTCGACTCAAAAGTTTGGGGGGGGAGGGGGGTGGGCAACGCACCTTGATCTGGGGGCGAACAGGCTTGAGAGGAGGCGCGTCTGCGATCTTGTGGAGCGTCTCAAACAGCTTGCCCTGTTGTGGGGACGACAGAGGGGGTTGCAGTGGGGTTGAGAGGGATGCAGTGGGGTGAGGAGAAGAGGCAGAGGGCGAGAGACAAGGCTTGAGAGGGGGCGCGTCTGCAATCTTGTGGAGCGTCTCAAACAGCTTGCCCTGTTGAGAGGACGACAGAGGGGGTTGCAGTGCGGTTGAGAGGGATGCAGTGGGGTGAGGAGAAGAGGTAGATGGCGAGAGACAAGGCTTGAGAGGGGGCGCGTCTGCAATCTTGTGGAGCGTCTCAAACAGCTTGCCCTGTTGAGGGGACGACAGAGGGGGTTGCCGTGCGGTTGAGAGGGCAGTGGGGTGAGGAGAAGAGGCAGAGGGCGAGAGACAAGGCTTGAGAGGGGGCGCGTCTGCAATCTTGTGGAGCGTCTCAAACAGCTTGCCCTGTTGAGGGGACGACAGAGGGGGTTGCAGTGCGGTTGAGAGGGATGCAGTGGGGTGAGGAGAAGAGGCAGAGGGCGAGAGACAAGGCTTGAGAGGGGGCGCGTCTGCAATCTTGTGGAGCGTCTCAAACAGCTTGCCCTGTTGAGGGGACGACAGAGGGGGTTGCAGTGCGGTTGAGAGGGATGCAGTGGGGTGAGGAGAAGAGGCAGAGGGCGAGAGACAAGGCTTGAGAGGGGGCGCGTCTGCAATCTTGTGGAGCGTCTCAAACAGCTTGCCCTGTTGTGGGGGAACGACACAGCGGGTTGCAGCAAGGCTGAAGGGGTTAGGGGGTTGCAGTGAGGGTGAGGGGGTTACAGTAGGAGTGAGGGGGATTTTTTTGGGCCGCCTTGTAAGAAAAGAAAGGCTTGTGGAGAATTTGGAACAGCTTGCTCTGCCATTAGGTGACTTTTGACTCGACTCAAAGACTCTCACCCCTTACTTGGTCTCACACCTCCTCCACTCACCTCCCACCCGCCCTTGCCAGCGGAGTCCCTTTTCAGCTTCGCGTCCTCCTCGTTGCGCTTCTTCTGCTCCGCCTCCTTCTCCTTGGCGTACTTAGGCGCCCACCGCTCCTTCTGCTCCACATCACACTATCCCACCCATGGAAAAGCTATTCCCCAGCCAGCCTCACACACGCACCTCCCACCCGCCCTTGCCAGCGGAGTCCTTTTTCAGCTTAGCGTCCTCCTCCTCGCGCTTCTTCTGCTCCGCCTCCTTCTCCTTGGCGTACTTAGGCGCCCACCGCTCCCTCCGGTACTTCTCCGCCACAGCAGGGTCGCTTGTAACGAGGATGTTGTCAAACAGAATGCCGTCCTGGTGGGTTTGGAAGGGAGGGAGGGATGGGTCGGCGTGAACGTGGAAGGGTGGATGGGCATGTGGGTGGGCAGATGAGGGGGATGGTTAAATGGGTGGATGAGCGGGAGGGTGAGTGGAAGGCGGGACAGGACGGTTGAGGGGCTACAGAGCACGGTGGAGGAGCACGGTGTTTCTCATGCTCCGCTCCCAGCTGCTCGACTACCAACCACCTCTTATCCTACCCAGAAACCCCGAACCCTGAGCCTCAAACTCTTTTCTCCATCCCCCCCCAGCACATCCCCACGCCCGGGCACTCACCGACATGGTCCAGATTTCAATGCCCACAGCAGCAACGCTCTCCAGGTTCGGCCGGTCCAGGTGGAAGTAGTCCGGGTTCGGGATGTCCCGCGCTTTCCACACGCCCTCGCCTTAAACCCGAAACCCCCAAACTCCCCAACTCCAAATCCCCCTCTCCCCCCCACCCCCTCTCTCCCCCCTCCTCTCCCCTCCCCCCACTCCCCCCTTGCCCGGGCACGCACCGACATGGTCCAGATCTCAATTCCCACGGCAGCAACGCTCTCCAGGTTCGGCCGATCCAGGTGGAAGTAGTCCGGGTTCGGGATGTCCCGAGCCTTCCACACGCCCTTGTACGCGGGGTTGTCGATGAGCGGCGCCGTCCACTTGCCCTTGTACGCGGGGTTGCGCTTCATCGGCCGCTTCCACTCGCCGCACCCGGGCGCCTCCTCGCACTTGGGGTTCGGGGTTTTGGGCGGCTCCCACTCGCCGTCCTCCTCCTCATCCCAATCCTCCGGCTTCTTTGCTTCAGGATCGTCCACCTGTTGGAAGGAGGAGGAAGAAGGAGACAGACAGTAAGGGAGATCAAACCACTAGATCAGGCACACCCAAGCCCTTGTAGTACGCGGGGTTGTCGATGAGCGGCGCCGTCCACTTGCCCTTGTACGCGGGGTTGCGCTTCATCGGCCGCTTCCACTCGCCGCATCCAGGCGCCTCCTCGCACTTGGGGTTCGGGGTTTTAGGCGGCTCCCACTCGCCGTCCTCCTCCTCATCCCAATCTTCCGGCTTCTTGGCCTCGGGATCATCCACCTGTTATGCGGGGAAGGAGGACTGGAACGTCGTGAGGAAAAATCGGTGATATTCTGCATCGTCCAACTGTAAAGGATTGCATGAGAGGTGGTGGGAGGAGGTAGGAATAAGGCTTCGGCACCAAATTCGGTCAAGCCCATCGGCGCCCCCAATCATTCGCCCACTCACCTCCTCGGGTTCGTTGTCCAGCCATCCCTCGGGATTGGTGGCGTTCTCGTCGGGGATCTCGCGCTCGCCGTCAAGCATTGCGCCACGAGAACCCCCCCAACCATCCCCCAATCATACTCCACTCAACGCACCTCCTCGGGTTCGTCGTCCAGCCAGCCCTCGGGCTTGGTGGCGTCCTCGTCGGGGATCTCGCGGGGCGCGTCCTCGTCCCAGTCGTCCGGCTTGGTTGCCTCGGGGTCCGTGATCTTGGCGCGCTCGTCCCTGCACGCACACCACCACCACGCGTCAAAGGAATAACACGCAATATTTAAGTCACTAATGCAAATTCTCTAGAGTGTCCGGCTTGGTGGCCTCGGGGTCCTTGATCTTGGCCCTCTCGTCCCTGCACGCACACCACCACGCGTCGCAGGAATCGACATACGAGTCATACAAAGTCGACATTCATTTGAAGTAGAGTGTCATTCAGTAGTTAGGAGATCTTCATGTGACGCGCGTGCAAATCAACAGACATTCGAGTCGACTCAAAAGCCACCTCAAAAGTCATCGAGTCAAATGAAAGGTCACCACGCGTCGCAGAAATTGTGGGAGCGTGCCGTTCAGGCAATTGCCAGTGGAGATTCACATGTTGATGTAAAGTGCGTACGGAATAGCAAACGTTTCTTTCCAACATTTCCACTAAACGTACGCTCTCAACTCACGATTCATCACCCTAAACTCACCAGTCATCGGGCTTCTTATCCTCGGGGTCCGGGATCGTCTTGGGCGGCAGCACGGGCGGCTGGAAATCCTTCCCGGAGAGCAGATCCCCCTCCGCCTTCTTCTCGCCGTCGATCAGAATCTCCACCGTGTTGTTCGGGTACACTATCGCCGTGTACACGTGGCTGAGCTTGTCGAATGTGTAGGGCGACGCGGGCTTCTTCATGTGGTGCTCCACGTACTCGCCCGTCTTGGGCGACTTGTGGCGGAAAATAAAGTGCACTTTATTCGTCGAGCCGCACTTGTCGGGTCCGAACATGATCGAGTACGGCGAGTCGTCCTTGAACTGACTGGGAGTCCAGCCCGCCGTCTGATTGGTCCACGGGAGAGGAGAGATTGGAAGACCCAAGCACGGAGGAGCAAAGAGTCAGGATAGACAGGATAAGTAAGGGCCGCACTTGTCGGGTCCGAACATGATCGAGTACGGCGAGTCGTCCTTGAACTGACTGGGAGTCCAGCCCGCGGTCTGATTGGTCCAAGGGGAAGGACAGATTGGAAGACACAAGCAAGGAGGAGCAAGGAGTCAGGATGGACCAGATAAAGAGGGTCAGAAGAAAGAAAACGGTAAGAGCACAGAGAGAAGCCGCAATCAGGTCAAAATTACGGGCAGCAACGTGACTGTTGAGTCAACTCAGAAGTAATTTTGATACCTGTGGCATGAGGAACTTGAGATAGGCTCCGCCACACTCGAGGTTGTTCTGCAGGCGAACGTCGTACTGCAGCACCAGGGTGTCCTGCTTCGGGTCTACCGGCTCCGGAAGCTCCACTGCGATGCCGTACTTCTTCGCCTTCTCGGTTACCAGCAGGCCATAATCGCCCGACGCTTCGCCAGGAGCCCACTTCCATTTGCCTGAGCATGCAGAAAAATGGAACATGAATTCACGTTCGGAGCATTGTCTGAAAGAGGCATTTAGTGGGCCAAAAGAATTCCACATGGGTGCTTATCTTGTGTACTCAAAGTCACATCAAACTGCAGCATAGTTATGCGGAAAATTTTAGTGGTTACCCGTGTAGTCCGCGGTGCTAGAGACGACCCAGCGACCAGCGTAATCCTCGTCAAACGACTCGAAGAATTCCACCTGCACGGATCGAGACGGGAGAGAGGCGTAGGAACATTCGGCATCAAAAGACGAATGGAAGTATGCTGCAGAGAAAGTACAACCGCCGATCTACCCGCCAAAACACTAGCTAGACAAGAATTGTTTTCAACTTACGGCAAGGCATGACTGCGTGGTGATGAGAACGAGCGCCAGGAGCGCAAGAACCGTCGACCGTGCCATGATCTACGATCCCTGATCCAGATCGAAAGAGCAATAGCACGGAAAAGCAGAGGCTATCTGACTACTTCCAGACTCTACACTTCGACAATCCGTGGACCTGCGCTATGCTTGGCTGGCTGCTGCAACTCCACCACTGATCTGCTTTGATGCTGAACTGAGCTTGGCTTTCTTGCTGGGCAAGCCTTGGGATGATCAGGATTCAACTGCACTACAGTATTCAGGTGTCGAATTCTGAAAATCCTGCGGGAGATGTGTGTGTGAGATGTAACCTGCCAGCCGAACGGATTCTTCCAGAAGCTAGGACAGATTGATGGACCTCCGCCCTTCGATCAACGTGGTGAAAGCATCTTCGTGAGGAATCGACGGTTCTATCGAAGCAGATCGGACACCACTGACGTGAAGCACAGCTAAAGCATTCTATCGGAGCTCAGTGATTGGCTGATTGGTCAAATTTTGAACCTCATTGGACAGCGAGACGTGGCCCCTACCACCCGATAAAGCCCGCTCGCTGTAGCTGTTAGAATCTACCTGCTTGGAGAACGAAAACATACTAATATCACATCTTCATTGTAGGCTAAATTTCGCTGTCATATTTCAAATTAATGTATGGGCCTCTCTTCTCATTCCCAGAGCCCTGTCAGGGGGAGTAAAGCTCGTACATCCTTGTAGTTGTAGATAAAAATCAGGGGTCAATAGTACTCGGGCAACTTGATATGAGTTGCATGATACCCACAGTATCCATCTGATACTTTGCATTGCATTGCACAAAGCTACATCATCAGGCTGGGGCAAATACAGAAACGGGTTTAGAAGAATGTACTCCTGCCTCTAGCAAGAGGCGACTAAGTTTCTAAAGCTTTGTTCAGTTTACATTTTCCTGGTTGAAAAACTACGGTACTTGTAGCTATCACCACACCACACCTTTACCCCCAGATTAACATTTTCTCCAATAACTCTGTTTCATGGTCCTCTGACTGACCATCCCACCTCAATTCCACCCAAACCTCTTGAGAGGACACAAGAGTGGCCTGAACGCCCTGTCCAAGTCTTGAGCGGACATTGGCCAGTACAAAAGCATGACTAAGAACGTGTTGAGTTATGCGCAACTACGCTGACGCCTAAGACACCTACTCGGACACCTGACAAACAACGGGCATGGGCTATACGGGTTGGAAAGCCGGGATGAAAATGTGAGATATAGAAAAGGACACATGCGCGACCTGACCATGGAAATGGGCTATACGAGTTGGACGGGCGGGATGAAAATGCGAGACTTAGTAGGATATGGGACACATACACGACTACGTCGACTTAAGACACCTTGTCTCTGACACCCTCGAAGCAGGAGACCGACGACCTATGTCACCTTGGTGGATGAGGGGAAGAGGAGTTTAGTGTCTAAAAAAACAGACCCTAACTGAACCCTCTCAAAACACTCCCCACTGCATTCGTCTGCGGCTACCAACGAAAACCCTCTTCTTTACATTGGACCGAAACCTGCCATGGAGACTCCAACTGGCCGTAATCGGAAGTCTACCACCTCACATCTCCCTTTCCTCGCTGACAGACACCTGCAGTTGATTCTGTTACCTTGCACAGTTCCCCATTACAGTCATTGCCAATCCATGTTCTTGAGGGAGGGGGGATTGCGTGGATACAAGGAGCATTGAGTGAACGTGATTATAGTAAACAGAAAGACAAAGGATCAATGTACGGACCAGCGCGCGACCAACCTCGCGATCTCCGTCTGGCTGCGAAAATGCTTCACTGCCGTAACAAAGACCGTACAGCTAACCAACGACATAATCCACACGAGGGAGCCCTCCTCCTACTTGGCAAAGACGATGCTGCACAACATCACAACATCACTTCCTTTACTTGATGCTGCACTTGGCGCCGGCACCCTCCAGTTGCTTCTTCGCATCCTCCGCATCCTCCTTAGAAACAGCCTCCTTAACCTTCTTAGGAAGACCCTCAATCATGTCCTTGGCCTCCTTCAAGCCAAGACCGGTGATCGCTCGCACAACCTTGATGACAGCGATACGCGACGAAGCAGGGACCTCCTCCAGAAGCAGGTCGAACTCCGTCTGCTCCTCAACCACAGCAGCGGCCTCGCCGGCGGCGGGAGCGGCAATGCCGGCAACCGGCATCATGGCAGCGGCGGACACGCCGAGCTCCTCCTGCAGCCTGTCAGTGAGAGTCCTGGCCTGGATGAGCGTGAGGTTCTTAATCTGCGACACGAGCTCCTCGATATCGGTGGTCGCGGCGGAGGCCACGACGCGACCGGCAGCAGCGCGGGTCTTCCTGACAGGCGCGACCGACACGACGGGGAGGGCGGATCCCCGTCGGAGGGACACGGATGAGAGGCATGGGGAGCTTGTGAGCGCAAGCTTTGTAGCGAGGGCCGCCATTTTCAAGTCTGAGAGTAGACTACGGGGAGACTACGGACGGCGGCCTCGTTAGGGAATTGGAAGCTAAGGGAATGGAGAGCAACAGATGCTAGCGAGGGAACGGAGAAACGGAAAACGGCTGCAGGGTGTAGTGGCTGGGGAAGGAGCGGCAGCAGAGAGGGTGCACACGGATGGAGCAGTACCAAGGCGGAAGTTGAGGTGGATGACGTGGCATATGGATGTCTGAGCGTGAGGGGCGGAGTGCAGGCTTGCTGGTTGTCTGCTGCGCGGATGAGTAAGCGGGGGAAAGTTGATTGCGGATGATGTGTTGATGGAGTTGTGGTATACCACCGCATAGATTTTGGTGAGTGTGCAGACGTGGCCTTCCAAGACTGAGCCAGATGCGCTGTAAAGCGGATGAGTGGATGATGGAAACTGGCGCGAGTGGTAAGTTCGAGGGCCACGACTGTCGTGTGACTTTGTCGAACAGCATGATAATCTATCACAGGCAACCAAGGTGTGTAGACAAAAGTGTTCATTTGTCATACGACATAACATATATCATCCATATGCATGCAAAAGTAAAGAATCATGAGACCCCAAAGCATAAAACCCATCTTTCCTTATTTTAAATAGCTCTAATTCAGTAAAGTTTTCCCACTATCTCATGATATCAGAACTGCATTAATGTGAAAATCAGTACAGCGTAGACTAGTGTAAGATCTGTACAGTCCGGATCTTTACTCGTTATTGTGTTCGTGCCGCTGGTGCACACCTCCACTTATACACGTGTACTGTACTGCTGTCGAGCCGGCAGCGTTTCACGGGAATCTCGCAGGAACTCCACGTATCGGTGGTCAGATCGGAATGGCCGCTTCCCGTTTCTTGCATTGCTTTAGCGCGAGAAGCTCGAGGTCTGGCTCACACGCACGGCTCTTGGTTTCCGCTGCTGTACAATGCAAGGAGCTCGAGCTCTGGTTGATCCGCTTCAATCTAGGCAGCTCGAGGTCTAGTTCACACCCACGATTCTTAATTTCCGCAACTGAGCCCTTGCGTCGCGTGTAATGGAGCTCGCTCAGCAAGGAGGACCCAGTAGCTGCCGTCCAGAAGGCCATTTCCGTGATTGCCGCGAGGAGGGGGACGGTCAGGCAGACATTGAGGGGGAGGAGGATGATAATTCGATGATGATGTTAGATGAAAGGTCGAACCTGATTGACGATGAGTCGATACTTCTTCTGCTGACCAAGAAACAGAGGCCGAATAGCTGTTGTGGAGTTGTTTCTGACGGTTCTTGTGGTTTCGCGAGCTTCCCGAGATTCATAAGCCAGGGAGGCATTGTTGCTAACGTCCCTAACTTCTATGCGCTGCTAGTTCTTATAATGTTCACTCTATCGATTCTCCTGGGACGGTATTTCCTCGGCTCAGGTTCCAGAATTCTAGATTTCACCGTCTCTTACGAATCCTCCTCTCGCGAGCTATCGACAGCGTCGCCGAATAGTACCGCCGCTCATGATTCTTTCAACTCGTCATCCTTCGGCTTCTCTCAGACAAACGCCAGCTCGTCCCGCGGCGAACCTAGCAATTCTGTCAAGACGCAGTCGTCTTTCAGTGATTTGTTTATAACTGACCCGTTAGAAGCCGCAGTTTTACAACGGGAACAGGAACTTATGCGGCTTTGGGGAGAGCTGCTTCGGCCGGGGTCACCCTACGCAAACCGTGACGTCAGCAGCGACGAGACCAGCACTAGTAGCTCCCAAGCAAGTTCCAGCATTCCCGCGAGTGCTCCTGACGTTGACGGAACACTGAAAGAAAGCAGCTACACTACTGTTATCAGCGACAAGGGGAGCCCTGACATGGAACCACTGAATGCAGCAGCAGCACGGGCTCCTTCTGACAGTTCAGCAGTCCAGTCGCAGGAAGCACCACCGTCTCAGAAGCAGAGTCAACAGAGTCAACAACAACAGCAGCAGCAGCAGCAGCAGCGGCGGCAGCAGCAGCAGCAGCAGCAGCAGCAGCAGCAGCAGCAGAAGCAAGATGGGAATAAGGAGCAGCGGAAGGAAGCGACAGTCACTGTCCCTTCGCCTGTCCCTCCGCCGGTCCCCCCTCACCTGGTGAACTGCGAGGCGATGGTCAAAGCCGTGACGCGGTATGAGAGGTTCGCGCGCGGACGGGACGTGGTGGAGCAGGTGCCGTGGGCTCTCGTCCGCCAGGGGAAAGGCGGTGAGAAGGATCGAGTTTTGAGAGCACGAAGAATGAGCGGCGGGATCTTGAACCACCAGGAGGAGGGGGAGGGGGAGGAGGGGGGGAGGAGAGGGGTGGTGGAGGGACCGTACCCGCCGTGGGTGGTGGGGGCTGACGAGGAGAATTACCCGTTGACTCGGCGCGTGCAGAGGGACATCTGGCTGCACCAGCACCCCGCTGACTGCTACCACCCTTCAGTCAAGTGAGGCGAGGCGATTGTCATGGTGCATATTGGGGTGCTTGTGATGCTGCTACTTAAAGGGGTGTTGCTTATAGGGATGCTGCTTATAAGGGTGCGTGCAGAGGGACATCTGGCTGCATCAGCACCCTGCCGACTGCTACCACTCCTCCGTCAAGTGAGGCGCTTGTAACACTGCCGCTTGTGCTGCCTATGGGAGTGCCTGTGGTACTGCCTGTAAGAAGACCTGTGTTTGTGTCTGTGGTGTCTCTCGTGGTACCACCCTTCCGTCAAGTGAGCTGCCTCTGCTGCTGCGGTCTGTGGTGCTGCTTGTCATGATGCCCGTGGGGGTGCTTATCTGCTGTCTGTGGGGGTGCTTGTTGTGCTGCTCATAGTGGTGCTCTTTAGGGCTCATGCAGAGGGACATCTGGTGCTTGTAGTGGTGCTTATAGGGGTGCTTGCAAGGGTGCGTGCAGAGGGACATCTAGTGCACCAGCACCCCGCTGACTTCTACCTCCCTTCTGTCAAGTGAGCTGCCTGCTTGCTTTGGCATGTCATTGGCGCTTGTGAGACTCCTCAAAAGCTCAACAACCCTCAGCTTGCAGAACCCCACGTTCCCCGCCCCTCCCTTCCTCATCCCTCTCTTCCTCTACACCACGTTCGTCCCCCAGGCCAAGTACGGCATAGGAGCACAGCTCACCAATGTGGCAGGCAGGGGCACCTCACACGTAGCAACCCAACTCAACCCTCTCCCGTTCCATTATCTCCCTCCCCCGTGCCTCCCTCGATTCACCACACAGGTTCCTCTACGCCACGTTTGTCCCCCAGGCCAAGTACGGCATTGGCGCGCAGCTCACCAACGTGTCAGGGGCGCCTTAGATGTAGCATCCCACACCTTCCAACCCTCTTCTGTTTCATTCTCTCCCCTGCTACCTCGCAGGTTCCTCTACGCCACGTTTGTCCCCCAGTCCAAGTACGGAATCGGCGCGCAGCTCACCAACGTGGCAGGGGCGTTGGCGCTGGCAGTGGCGTCAGGGCGGGTGCTGGTGCTGGGGAAGTTCCCGAGGGCCATGCACGGGGGGTGTGAGGGGCGCCTTAGAAGTAGCAACCCACCTGCCAACCCACCTGCCAACCCACCTGCCAACCCTCTACCTTTCCATTTTCCCCCCTTTGCCGACCCCCCCTCCCTCCCTCACATGCAGGTTCCTCTATGCCACGTTCGTCCCTCAGTCAAAGTACGGCATTGGCGCGCAGCTCACTAATGTGGCAGGGGCGTTGGCGCTGGCAGTGGCGTCAGGGCGGGTGCTGGTGCTGGGGAAGTTCCCGAGGGCCATGCACAGAGGGTGTGAGGGACGCATGCACGGCCGCTGGAAGTGCTTTTTCGCGCCAGAAACAGGGGATGCGTGCAGAAGGTGCATGCGTTGTTTGTGGTGTGTGGTGCGGTGCAGTGTGGTGTGGTATGGGATGCTGGTGCTGGTGCTGGTGCTGGTGCTGGTGCTGGTGCTGGCAATGGCGTCAGGGAGGGTGCTGGTGTTGGGGAAGTTCCCGAGGGCCATGCACGGAGGGTGTGAGGGACGCATGCACGGCCGCTGGAAGTGCTTTTTCGCGCCAGAAACAGGGGATGCGTGCAGAAGGTGCATGCGTTGTTTGTGGTGTGTGGTGCGGTGCAGTGTGGTGTGGTATGGGATGCTGGTGCTGGTGCTGGTGCTGGTGCTGGTGCTGGCAATGGCGTCAGGGAGGGTGCTGGTGTTGGGGAAGTTCCCGAGGGCCATGCACGGAGGGTGTGAGGGACGCATGCACGGCCGCTGGAAGTGCTTTTTCGCGCCAGAAACAGGGGATGCGTGCAGAAGGTGTGCCTGTTTGGGTGTGGTGTGGTGTGGTGCTGTGTGGTGCGGTCTGGTGTGTGGCGTACTACAGGTCAGTATGTACTCTTGAGTAGTGGCGTACTTCATGCCACGCCCGCGCCTTGCCTCGAAACCTCTCACCTCCCCCTTTCCCCTCACACCCCCCATCCCACAGGCCAGCTCACGACCTAATGGCCAAGCAGAAAGCGCAGCATCCCAACCCGCCAGCCTCCGCCTCACAGACAAACCACCGTTCACTCAACCCAGTGCCTTCACTCCATGCCTGCTCCAGGACCTGAAGCAATTCTTCCTCTGCTTTGCCTCCTCCCACCTCCCATCCCACAGGCGAGCTCACGACCTAATGGCCAAGCAGAAAGCGCAGCATCCCAACAACCTGCCTGTCACCACCACCGACTCAAACCACACGGCAGAATCAAATCTTCAGGGCGGATCCGATCTGCCAGCGGAATCAGACGTGTTCTCAAACCTGACAGTGGTGCGGCGGCAGGATATTCCTGACAAGCTCGTGTGGTTCCCCCCCGTGCCTGCCCTGTGGGGGGAGCCGTGGCGGCGCATCCCTGCTGTGATTGAAATCAACGGGCACATGCGGCAAACCACCAAGACCGGGTGAGTAAAAGCTCATGCACGCTTCCTTCTCGCGTGGTTCCCCCCCGTGTGTGCCCTGTGGGGGGAGCCGTGGCTGCGCATCCCTGCTGTGATTGAAATCAACGGGCACATGCGGCAAACCACCAAGACCGGGTGAGTAAAAGCTCATGCACGCTTCCTTCTCGTGTGGTTCCCCCCCGTGTGTGCCCTGTGGGGGGAGCCGTGGCTGCGCATCCCTGCTGTGATTGAAATCAACAAACACATGCTGCTGCAGACCACCAAGACCGGGTGAGTCAATCATTGTACACGCCCTCTATGTTTTGTGCTCGTTCCTTGCTTCCGTGCCCATTGCTCTGCCCATTGCTCTTCGCCTTTTTTTTGTTCATTACTTACTGCAGCAACAAGGTCCGCTGGTGGAGGGCACGGCACAGGCGTGGCACTCCTTGCTGCCTCGCCTTTACACATGCCCCTCACATGATTGCTCTGCCCGCTGCCCTTCCCATTGCACCGCCCAATGCTCTGCCCTTCACTGTTTGCAGCAACACGGACCGCTGGTGGAGGGCGCAGGCATGGCTCTCCTTGCTGCCTTGCCTTTGCCCATGCCCCTCACATTCCCATTGCACCGCCCATTGCTCTGCCCTTCACTCTCTGCAGCAACAAGGACCGCTGGTGGAGGGCGCAGGCGTGGCGCTTTCCCATGCCTGTTGTGCTCATTGCTGCCTGTGCCTGTCTCTCACATGATGACTGTGTGCATTGCTCTTCCCACTTCCCCTGTCCCTCGCATGAATGCTCTGTGCATTGCTCTGACTCTGCAGCAACAAGGACCGCTGGTGGAGGGCGCAGGCGTGGCGCTTCCTCATGCGCTCGCCCTCGCGCTACCTCTGCGGCGTTCTCAACCGGGCCAGGCACGCGGCCTTCGGGCCAATGGCAGCTCGCCACGTGGCGCAAGCAGAAGCCGCAATCCTTCAAGCCAATAAGCTGGGCTTTGGTGCAAACACTCACCGTGTTAACCTCTCTGGGTCTGGAAATCCACAGCTCATCTCTGCTGCCTCTCGTATTTCCGGTAGTGCTGCCGATACGAGTGATGTTCAGAGTAATGGCTCACAAAGTGGTGATGTTAACGGCTTGCTCGTAGGCGCCAGGTCAGCACCGTGGGTGCCGCGGCCGCTGGTGAGCATGCACGTGCGCATGGGGGACAAGGCGAGGGAGATGCGGGTGGCGGGTTTCGGCACGTACCTGCACCTGCTGGCGAGAGTGCGGGAGTTTGACCCCTCTGCTACAACCGTCTGGCTTAGCACAGAAATGCAGCCGGTAAGACAATTGGGTGGTCTGAGCCGTCTCAAAACATACCTGCACCTGCTGTCAAGAGTGCGGGAGTTTGATCCCTCTGCTACAACTGTCTGGTTGAGCACAGAAATGCAGCTGGTAGGGCAACTGGAAGCCTGGGACATTGCATGACATCCCATTACGGTGTTCCATCCTGCTTCTTCTCATTCCCCCCATCACACCCCGCGACCCTTCACTGTCGTGTGGCTTCCTCCGAGAATGCCTTTTCTTTTGCTTAGGCTTGTGGGAATTTGCTGGATATGCTGCAATCGCTCTTTTGTTGACCAATTTTCCACTGGTCCGTTGTTGGTTACTGCTGGCAGGTGGTTGATATGGCCATTCGAACTCCCGGATGGGACTGGAAGGTCACCAACGTACCTCGGATGCAAGGAAAGGAAAGCATGCCAGCTTTTGAGGCCCGAATTGGAGCCCAACGTGGTTCTGAAAATGCCTGGGTCAATCTGCTTATGGCTGCAGAGGCGGATTATTTCATAGGTGCCCTTGGTTCAACGTGGTCCATGCTGATTGATGGCTTGAGGTGTACAGGAGGAAAGATGCTTGCTGGATTTCTAAGCACATCTCGGGACAGGCATTGGTAGTGGTCTTATAAGAATTTGTTTCCGAACCTACTTCTCAGTACCGCATATTTCACCCACAATCGGAGATGAAGCACAGGGCCGCTCACCGCCGCCCAAATCGTCAGCCTTGTTCTGTACCAGGCCTGCCCCGCATTTGGGAGGCGCGGTTCACCGCACAATATGGTGGCGGGAAGCTAGGTTCGGGGCATGACCGAGGTTCGGCCTGAAGTTCTCTAGGCGCGGAAACGTTCAGGGCCAGATCAGGCGAACCAAACGGAGCTGCATGACGAGCCTCCGACCAACGATTTGTCTTTCGGTCCGACGTAAGGGGCTCCCCCCAATTCCACCCCAAGAATCTGGGAATGTGGAACTGCCGCACGAGACCGCCCTCGATTTCATCCGAATTCCCCCAGCGTATTCCTAACCAAACCTAGCTTTAGGTTCGATCGCTGTTCCAGAATGAATTACACGCTCGGGATAGAGATTTGGAAGTGGTCCTCCTCTGCTGCAGCGGCCAACACACACACATACGCACACACACACAGGGAAGTTGCAACCTTCATTTCGCGCACACGTACATTTGTAATGACAGCATCACCAATCGTTTCGCTGTTTCAGCACTAGATTGGCTGGCCGAACGGACTTTGACAAGACGTTTAGTCGGCTTTTTATCGGCTTTTAACTCTGGTCCACCCGCACGATAGAGCTCAAACGGCGTCGTCCGGTCCAGCCACACGTAACCAGACAGATGCACTTGATCGATGCTCGACCGATCCTTAGCTCGACGGCAGTCGTTTTAGCACCTCAACGTATACGCCAGCTTAGTTTCTGATTTAACGCGACGGCAGCTTGACTATTAACTTCCATAGTTTCTTCATCATGGAAGGCTGATTCCAGCTGACTCCGCGAACTCAGAGGCTGCAGCTCAGATGGGTATCGGGGGGTTCTTGCGGTCCGGAGCCTCCTTCGCGGGTCAGTTCGTGGCCGTTCTCGCTGTCCACACTCTAGGACGGGTCGTATGGCCTTTCTTCCGAGTCGCCGCGATCGCCAGCAGCAATGTCTGGTCCAAGCTGCCTCTCCGCCTGGTACGCGTTTCTATTAGCATTTTCTGTTTCTATTCATATTATTACCGCAGCTGCAGCTGCAGCTTCCTGCTTCTACTCGTGTCACGTCGGCAGCCGTCTATCACGGCACGTGTGATTCTGGCCTTCGCGGTCGGCTCAGAGGAGCAACGGAGAAGATAAAGACGCGCATGTCAGTGAGAGGCGCAAAGGTCAATGACGGATACACGTGGTAGAGAGAGAGATACACGTGGCAGTGAACGGCACACGTTGCATTGAACGAAAAACACGACAATGAGTGAGAAACACGAAGATAAGTGACGTATATGACAATGAATGACGCACAATCTGCTCCATGCTCTCCCCCAGCCGACTACAACCCTGACTGTCCAACCATGCTCAAGCATACCCAACCACGCTAAACCACTTCTCCCCCCACGCCCAACCATACCCAACCACGCCCAACCACATCTCCCCCCCTCTGCAGCCGATGCCATACGGAGCAGCGAATTCCGTGGCGCGGCTGCGGCCGTTCTGCGTGCCGGTGGTGCTGCAGGTGGCGCTCAGCTCGCTCACCCCCCTCGCCTTCCCCGACGTCTGGCCCTGGCGCACCCTCCGCTTCTGGGACCTTTGAGTCACCTCATGAGTCAACATGCTCAACCATACCCAACCATGCTCAACCACGCCCAACCGCTTCCCCCTTCCCTCCCCCCCTCTGCAGCCGATGCCAGAAGGAGCAGCGAATTCCGTGGCGCGGCTACGGCCGTTCTGCCTGCCGGTGCTGCTGCAGGTGGCGCTCAGCTCGCTCATCCCCCTCGCCTTCCCCGATGTCTGGCGCACTCTCCGCTTCTGGGACCGCCTCATGCCCATCTACCTGGGGTCAGTTCCCTGAGGCACCTTCATCCTTTATGCCTATTATTGAGTCGACTCCTAAGTTAAATCAGCTCGCTCATCCCCCTCGCCTTCCCCGATGTCTGGCGCACTCTCCGCTTCTGGGACCGCCTCATGCCCATCTACCTGGGGTCAGTTCCCTGAGGCACCTTCATCCTTTATGCCTATTATTGAGTCGACTCCTAAGTTAAATCAGCTCGCTCATCCCCCTCGCCTTCCCCGATGTCTGGCGCACGCTCCGCTTCTGGGACCGCCTCATGCCCATCTATCTGGGGTGCGTTGTGAGAGTCACCTTCATCCTTTATGCCTATTATTGAGTCGACTCAAAAGTCAAGTCAATGCCCTCACCCTCCTTGCCTTCCCCGATGTCTGGCGCACGCTCCGCTTCTGGGACCGACTCATGCCCATCTACCCTTCACCACTCCCTTCTCCCCTTTCCCCAAACCCCCACCCCTCCTCCTCCCTCCCTCCTCCTTCACCACTTTCCACCACTCCATTTTGTTCGTTTTCACATCGCTACCCGCCCTTCATCCTCTCCTCACGCTCTTACCCCTCCGTCCCATTTTCTCGCTCCAACCACCTTCCCCTTTCCCAATACCCTTCCACCTCGCCCCCTTCCCTCTCCCACCAACCGCTCACCCCTTCCCCCCCCCCCCCCCCCCCCTCCAGGTATATGAAGACAAAGCTGGCGGTGCGCAAGAAGCCCATTGAGGTTCGCCACGTGAAGTGGGCTGTGCGCCACGAGTGGGGCGGCAAGTGAGTGAATCTGGGCGGCTGTGCGCTGAAATGGGCGGCAAGTCAGCGGGGTTGGGGCGGGAAGTGAGTGGGAGTGTGGTGGCAATTGAGCGTGAATGGATAAGTGAGTGGAAGTGAGTGGCAAGTGCGTGAATGGGGTGGCAGATGAGAGAGAATGGGGCATCAAACGCCACCATGCATGAGGCAGCATGCGTCGGTCAGGCGGAAATATCTAATATAGCTGAGCAAGAGTGATGAGGCTAGGAATAGGGCGCGCCGTCTTGTTCTCATGTGGTGCTCTTTTTGTCCTCTCACCACCACCCCCATCACCGCACCGGCAACAACACCAGCCTCATCCCTCTTGCAATAATGCCCTCTCTTTCCCCTCTTCTTTCCCCTCTTCTTTCCCCTCTTCTTTCCCCTCTTCTTTCCCCTCTTCTTTCCCCTCTTCTTTCCCCTCTTCTTTCCCCCCATGCAGGCTCGTGCACGACCTGGTGCTGCGGCTCAGCGGCCTCTACGTCAAGTCTGCGCAGATCCTTGCTTCCAAATCGGTGCGTTCCCATCCCTGCTTTCAAAGTTCGTTCTCACGCATCGTTCTACTCCTATCTCCTTACCCCACTGCTCTACTCTTAGCAGCCCGCGTCATCTCTTCGTGCTGACATGCCCATTTTCAAAAGAGCCCATCCTCACACTCCTTCCACTGCCAGGCACAGGACTTCATGCCAGCAGCGTGGGTGCGGCGCCTCTCATCGCTGTTTGACAACATGCCCCTCTTCCCAACACTCACACACCTGACATCCCCTGCCCACCCCTCTCTTCCCTCTCCCCCCCCTCCCCTCGCACAGGACTTCATGCCAGCAGCGTGGGTGCGGCGCCTCTCAGCCCTATTCGACAACGTGCCCTCGCGCTCAATACTTATACGTGACATGCCGCCCCGGCCCCCCAATTCCACCCCCCCCCATTCCCTCGCACAGGACTTCATGCCAGCAGCGTGGGTGCGGCGCCTTTCAGCCCTATTCGACAACGTGCCCCCCCGCCCCTACTCGCAAGTCATCCGCTCCATCCAATGCGAGCTCGCCATCTGTCCTCCTCCCGGCCCCTCCCCCACCCCTGCTCTTCTCCCGCCTCCTCCTGTTGGTGATACTTCTGCTGCCTCTGATGCTGCTGCTGCGAATGGTGAAGCCTCTTTGCTCAAACCCGCTACAGCCAACGGTCCAGCCGGTCAAAGCAAGTCAACGCAGGTCAAGCGCCGGGCACTCCTAGTAGCAGACGTCTTCGAAAGCATAGACGAGGACTCCCTAGCCTCTGCCTCTATTGCCCAGGCCCATGCAGCTGTGCTCCTGCACCCCCTCCCAGAGAACAACCCTACTGATCCTTCCAAGGTGCTGCCTATCCTGCCGCACCTCACGAGCAAGGAGAGGGAGGCCCTTGGGATTGCCGTGGAGTGCACTGAGGCTTGCTTTCTGGCAAGGCTCGATCGGCCGTGGCCGAAACCACTGTTCCAGTCGGGTTTTCAAGCAGGAGCAGCAGCGACAGCGGGTGCTGCAGTGACAGCAGAGGCAGCAGCAGGGGTTGTAGTGGCCGCTGAGACACCAGCAGCAGAAGCAGCAGATACACCGAGAGCAGCAGCAGCAGGAACAGAGAACGCAGCAGCAGGAGCAGCAATGGCAGGCGCTGCTGTGGCCTCTTTCCCTGCAGTGAACGCAGTAGGTGGGGGTGCAGCAGGTGCAGCGAATGCAGCAGGTGCGAGCAGCAGCAGTCCAGTCCCACGGAGGACTGTGCCCGGGGTGATATCCCGCCTGGTGCCCCTGGACCGCAAGCCCATCGGCGTCATGACTGCCGATGGTACCATCAAACCCATCTCCCCTGCCCACCCTGCCCTACCTTCGCCTTCTGCTGCTGGCGGAGCAGGAGCAGCAGCAACTGGAGCAGCAGGAGTAGCGGCCGGAGCAGCAGGGGCAGCAGGAGCAGGGGCCGTGCTGAAGCGGCCTATTCCTCCGCGGTTGTCAAATGACAAGGCAGAGGAGGGCGAGAGGGAGGAGGAGGGCGAGGAGGAACAGTTTTTCGACGGCGAGGGAGGGGAGAGCAACGAGGGCGGGGACGAGAGAGATGATTTCTTTGACGCGCATTCCGAGGCCCCTGAACTTGGTGCTGACGTGGCGAGCGGTAGCCACGTGGCGGTGTGTGACAGGAGGGAGGGAGGGGCCGGAGGAGCAGCGGAACGGGGGGCTGGTGAGGAGGGAGGTAGCGAGGAGGAGAGGGAGGAGGAGCAGGAGAGGGATAGGGAGAGGGAGAGAGTGCGGTGCAGGGCGGTGGTGGTGAAGGTGCAGCATCTGGGCATGGATATCATCATGCGCTCCGACCTGAGGAATATTGGCCGTGTGGCTGAATTTCTGTCTCCTCAACTGCCCTTCGACCTCCGCAATGTGAGCTCACGTGCGCTATGCTGTGGTGTGTGGTGTGGTGTGGTTTGCTGTAGTGTGGTGTGGTTTGCTGTAGTGTGGTGTGGTGTGGTATGCTGTGGTGTAGGTACACGCAGTGTGAGCTCTCCGCTGCACAAATGCACATGCGCTCATCAGCATGCCTGACTGTTCGCTTGTCTATTCCCCTTTCTTCCTGGTCCCTCTTCCACTTCCCTTTCTTCTCGCCCTTCTCCCCTCTTCCCACTCCAACTCCCGGGCCCGCTTACAGATAGTGAAGGAGATACAGCAGACCATTCCCAACGAGTTCAACTTTCACCATTCATCCCACTCCCCTCGTCCCACTCCCCATCCCAACCCCTCATCCCCTTTCCCACGCCCCCCCATGACCTCCCCGGCCCGCTCACCCGAGCACAGATAGTGAAGGAGATACAGCAGACCATTCCCAACGAGTTCAACTTTCAGAGGGAGGCCGCCTTCATGACCACCATTCGCCACAACCTCGCCTGCCGGGGCTTCCACCAAGTCGTCTGCCCCACGCCCATGCTGAGTCTCTGCACACGGCGCATGATCGTCATGGAGGTATGAGGTGCTACGGGGTGGTACTGGGTGCTATGGGGTGGTACTGGGTGCTATGGGGTGGTACTGGGTGCTATGGGGTGCTGCTGGGTGCTTTCTTCAGGCGTCTCAAGGCTTCCACCAGGTCGCCTGCCCATGCTGCACCTCTGCAAAGAGGGGCATGATCGTCAAGGTACAGCCAGCAGCTGCTGTGTGGGCTTGCAGATGGTCGTTGTGGTGGTGCTGTTGGAGTTGCTCCCATCAAGTCACCCCTACTGCACCCCCAGAAGCACATCCCACATTTCCTCCCTAACTCGTTTGGTCCTTTTTTCCTCCCTCATCTTTGCCCCTCCCAGAGGCTCTATGGCACACCATTCACGAAGATAATCGACTCGATACATCCCGACAAGGATTCCTCCCTCCTCCCATTTTCCTCCTAACTCCTTGTTTCCTTTCCTCCTTGCTTTGCTCCTCCTTCCCATTCCCAAACCTTTCAGAGGCTCTACGGCACACCATTCACCAAGATAATCGACGCCCTACACCCCTACAATACCAGCACATCTCTTATTTCCTCTGTTTACTCCCCCCCATTCTTAACCCTCCCAGAGGCTCTACGGAACACCATTCACCAAGATAATCGACTCGCTACACCCCTACAAGGATTCCTCCCTCCTCCCTCCGCCTCTTGCCGCCACACGCCAAGAAGCGATCTCAGCCGTCCGATCCCTCCTTGAATCCTACGGTGCTATGTTCTTTCTGGACGGGGTTTTCCATGCCGACCCGCATCCAGGAAACCTTTTGCTGCTGCCCGGCGCCAAGCTCGGGCTGCTGGACTTCGGGCAGTCGAAAGTTTTGGAGCGGCAGACAAAACGTTCGTTTGCCCGAATGGTGGTGGCGCTGTGTAAGGGTAACCAGCTGGAAATTGCCCTAGCATTACTGGGCACAGGAATATCCTTCGGGGGGGATGCTGATTGGACTACCTTCTTTAATAAACCAGGGGAGGTGGCAACAGGGGTGGGAGGAGCAGTGGGGGCAGAGGAGGGTGGGAAGGACGAGAAAGTTGAGCCAATGATGAATGGACACGTGTCAGAGAGTGCGCAATGTAACGGCGTGGCAACAGCAAAAAGTGTGGGTGCTCCTGCTCCGGCTCCTTCTCCTGCAGGGCTGGGCCTTGGTTCCGGTCTGGGACCCAAGTGGCCAGCAGCTTCGGGCTCAAAAGCAGCACCAGCAGACACGGTTGCAGCAGCAGCAGCACCAACAGGCACAGGGACAGGAACAGTACAATCGTGCAGCAGCAGCAGGAGCAGCAGGAGGAGAGGCAGCAGTGGGGCTGCCTGGACTTGGTCCCAGGCCGAGGAAAAAGAAGACAGTGGCTTTCAGTGACCCCCTCACTCTCGGCCCCTCTGCCTCCTTAGGTTCTGCTGCCGCTGCTGCTGGTGCTGCTGCTGCTGGCATGCCGGCTGCTCCAACAAAAAGCAACCTTATTGCTCCTGCGCCTGCAGTGCCTGCTGCTAGCTCTGCCACTCCTCCTGCTGCTGCTCCTCCTGTTTCTTCTGCGGCTCCTGCTGCAGGGGCTGCTGCTCCTGCTGCAGCGGCTGCTGCTAGTTCGTCTGCCACTCCTGGGGCTGCTGTGGGGGGATCACCAGTGCTGCATGGGGTGGAAGGGGGATCCGTGTCTGCTGCAGTGCTGGCTGCTGTAGTCGCCTTCACAGAAAACGCCCCTCCTGATGACTCCACTGCTGCTGCCGGCACTTGCTGCTGCTGCTGCTCCTGCCGCTGCTGCTGCTGGTGGGAGTGAGAAGGGAGGGGAGGAGGGCAGTAGCAACAAGGCAGGTGCGGGGAGGGGAGAATCTGATGGGGAATCGGCGCTAGCGACGCTGCTGAAGGAGGTGGGCCCGGCAGGGCTGCTGGCAGCAGCAACGCCGCAGCGGCTGCAGACGGTGCAGACGCTGTCATACCTCATGTTTGACACTCGACCCATGGCTGAGGCCCAGATGTCGCCCCTTGCTCAGGAGTCTGTTTTGCAGAGGGCGCCTTTGAAAGCCTTCAATCAGTCCTACTGGCTGGTGAGTTTCGGCTGGCAGGTGGGTGTGTGGCTGGTTGTGGGGGTAAAGGAGGGAGTGTAGAGGCTGCAGACGGTGCAGATGCTGTCGTACCTCATGTTTGACACTCGAACCATGGCTGAGGCCCAGATGTCACCTCTAGCCCAGGAGTCGGTGCTTCAGAGGGCGCCTCTCAAGGCTTTTAATCAGTCCTACTGGCTGGTGAGTGGGGGGAAAGCAGTAGTGATGATGGGGGTCTGAAAAGGTGGGGGGAAGGGGGGGTATGCAGCGGCTGCAGACGGTGCAGACACTCTCATGTTTGACACTCGCCCCATGGCTGAGGCTCAGATGTCGCCCCTTGCTCAGGAGTCCGTGCTACAAAGGGCTCCTCTCAAGGCTTTTAATCAGTCCTACTGGCTGGTGAGTTTGGGCTGGCAGGTGGGTGTGTGGCTAGTTGGGGGGGGTGGGAGAGAAAGGAGGGGATATAGAGGCTGCAGACGGTGCAGACGCTGTCGTACCTCATGTTTGACACTCGCCCCATGGCTGAGGCCCAGATGTCGCCCCTTGCTCAGGAGTCTGTTTTGCAAAGGGCTCCTCTCAAGGCGTTCAACCAGTCCTACTGGCTGGTGAGTGGTGGGGAAGGGAGGGGAGGGGTGGTGGGGGGCTTCTGGAAGGCAACCCCTCAAGGCGTTACAGTCGCTCCTGTCGCAGGAATCCGTGTTGCAGAGGGCGCTTCTCAAGGCGTTCAACCAGTCCCACTGGCTGGGGGGGGAAGAGGGGCAGGGGGACTGTGAGGGAGTGGGGAATTGGGAATTGGGGGGAAGTGGCAGTTCGCATGCTGCTTGTGCAGTGGTGGGGAACGAGGCTATTGGATGGGTATCCGCAGCTGCCACTGTGCAAACAGCACCGGCTTGCACCTCTGCGACCCCCTCCTCCTCCTCCTCCCCTCCCCCACCCCCTCTTCCCCCCTCCCTTAAACTCACATCCCCTCTCCCCTCCTGTGTATCAGTTCGTGAGGGCCTGCTGCTTCTACAGGGGCTATGCCACTCTTTTCTGAGTTACTAATTGATCCCCTTCACCCAACCTCCCCCACTCCCACCCTCCCCTCCTCCACCTGTATCAGATCGTGAGGGCCATGCTGCTGCTACGCGGCTTGTGCCATTCGCTAGATGCTGACATCTCAGCCGTCCAATTGTGGAGGCCTTATGCCGAGGCTCTTCTTGCACAAGACCCATAGGAAAGCCCTTGAGCACTGTACTGCCACTGCGTCACCCCTGTTGAAATTAGACGCGTCTTAAAAGTATCAACAGCATAGCAGCTTTGGTACACCTAGTCTGCAGCTGTGAATCTGCATTAGTTTTGATCGTGCGCGAAAAGCTGAGTTGCAACCATAGCCATGCCGTGTGTTGCATGACATCCTTGTTATGGTTTAGTACTTGGACTGGAAAAATGACGAACTGTAATCTGACAAATTACATTATGAAGTAAAGTACCATATATTGAGTATGTATATTGAGTATGTATAGGTCGGTCAATTGGTCTTCAAGGATATGGTCTGTGGCAAGACGCAGGACCTCAGATGATCCCGTTGGGCTTGAGCACCCCATCCACACCGTGCGCCCAGATGAATTTCCCCTTGAAGAGATCTGGATCGTCGATTTGTGCCCACGTCAGCACGTTCGCCCCAGGAGGGCCCAGAGCGACGGTTGTACCGTGCGAAAGGAAACCCGTCTGCGTCTTGAACCGTACAAGCTGCTTCCCGTTCAATTGCGTTTTCAGTTTCCCGCCAACGGGAATCGACTTTATTTGTGCAAAGGGGTACATGCCTTCGAGGACGTTGAAACGAATCAGGTCACCCATGAGCTTCGGCACTATAGCGCGTATGCCGACTCCCGTGAGAGCGATGTTGGTGGGAATCAGCGCCGTGTTTTCGGATAGAAACTCCACACTTATATTCGCGTCGGGTAGCTTTTCTGAAAAGAATAAAAGGTAGAAGATGGGAGTGGAGAAGAAGAGTCATATCGAAGTGCCGTACGGGAAGGAGGGGGCTGGCGGGAGGGGAAGCGGGGATCGTGGGGGTGATGGAAAGTGGGTGGGAAGGGGACAGGTGAAAGAATCACATTGACCGAAAGTTTCCACACCGCACTTACTAAGCTGTTTGATTGATCGTCGTAACGCGTTCGCTACAATCGAGTATTTGAACGGGTTCTTTGCAAGGGTCTTCTGCAGCTGCTCCAGTTCCGCGATAAACTCCGCAGGCGTCGGCCCCGCAGCCGCCGCTACGGCGAGCGAGAGAACGAGAATCGCTCCTAGCAACTCCCTGCACGCCATACTCTGCTTGAGCGGATGCTTCTAAAATTATTTAGACTCCTCGAATGTCTACTTGAGCGGATGCTACTATGTCGATTTATCTCGTCCGTGAGGGATTGCGAACTTCTATATATGCCACGTTCTGTTGACGCTGCTGTGGTTCGCGAGTCGTCTGCGTTCGGTTGATTGGTCCTACCGCGTGGGCCGTGAGTTCAAATGGAGTCGTCCTTCCGTGCGAGTTACCGAAGAGAAAGACCTATACATGACGGATTCGCCCGCAATGCTAGTCTAGTCGATTGTGCCTGGAAGGGCAGTGCGCCCTTTATACTCCAGCAATGTGCCACTTGCAATCGCGACAGCTGTCGGTGCTAGCGAGCTTTCAAACATGTCAGATCGTGACCGACAGTCGTCTGATGGGTGCATGAAGGGAGGCTTGATTTGAAGTGGAAGCACTGCTGATGCTTCCCCTCCCGCATCCGATCTGATGTTGCGTGCGAGCAAGGGCGTTAGTGACGGAATTTTTAGGAAGTGGGGGGGGAGCGGTCGAGGCGCGAAATTCAGCTCGCGAATTTCTGGAAAGAATTTGTTCGCAGCGACTCGGAAATTCTGTGAGCGCGAGGAGCACGAAGGTGAGGTGGCGTGAATTGCGGACTGCCATGACGGCAGCTGTTCTTCGTCCGTGTGTTGCGGTGGCAGCGAAATGCTGAGCGAGTTACTTAGCTGTGCGACAGAACAGGCTGATGAACCTGCTCGATATAGTTTCGACCGTTTGTCATTACAGGTGTAACTGATGTATTACTTGAAGCTCTTGCGCAGAGAGGTGTCAGGATTTTATATTAGTAGAAACATATACAAAGCAAAAACGTGGATCAGCAGGATGTAGGCACATCTAACACAAAGGCAAAAAGGGAACTAATATTCTGCTCGATCACCCTTACCAGCAGCAACCACTTCCTGAGCCTCCAGAGCACCACTCCTACCGCTACCTAAGCCAAGCAGGCGGTTTCTTAGCAATGCAGGGAGTTCGTAACTGGTAGCAGGCAGGCAGGCAAGTGTTGGGAGCCCATCCGGGCCGCTGACTCAGCGTCAAATAAGCCGACGCCCGTCTACAGTTGTACGCACATATTTGAAACAAACAATCGCAAGGCGAGAGATTTCCGCAAGTGAGGGCCGGATCAGCGAGCGGCCATGGGGGAGGGGGGCAAGCTGCAGTGGAAGTGCAGGCATTGCCGGTGAGGGGCTTTAAGAACATGCGGCCACGGCAGGCTGATTCACAAGGCGCGCACACTCCCTGCCTGAACGGCATCGCATATGCCTTTTTCGCCGCACACCCGCTGCCGTACGTCACCCCGTCGGCCCCACACACGGTCGACGTCGCCAGCGGGCAGACATCCGAAAATATCCGGTTTTTGCAGGGTATTAGCAGCAGTTGCCCTTGCGAGATCGCGGAATCGTCGCAGGTGGGGAGGGTGTTGGTGTCGCAGATAGAAGTGGGAAAGGTGTTGTTGAGGCAGAGAGTGTTGAAATACTTGGTAATCGATGCGAGTGTGTCGTTGGCAACGACGGTGTAGGGGATAACGTCGGAGGAGAGAGAGTCGGCACTGAACGCGTCGATTGCCCCTGCGACGCACACCTGCTGGCCGATCTGAAAGTATGGCGGGTCACACTGCCATGGGAAAAAGGAGGACGAGAGAGGAAAACATCAGTACGAGATAGAAAAAACGGACTGAGAAACAGGAAAACAAGAGCAGGAAGGGGCATGGTGAGCCCAGGGTGTTCACAAGAGCTTACCCTGAGAGCACAAGGTGTAAATCTAGAGCTTACCCTGAGTCCGGGATTGAGCTTCATAAAGTCGTCCATGGAGAGAAGCGCGGCGTTGGCGATGCGGCTGCAGGTGTCGGCCTGGGTGACAGAGTACCACTCGGCGCACTCCACACTCACTAGCTCCACTGTCAGCGGTGCCACACAGAGCAGCATTGAGGGGTCCAGAGGGGTTGTGCTGGCACATCTCAGCCCTGGATTGAGGCTGTGAGGGGGGAAGAGGGGAGGGCAGGGGGTGTGGAAGCACAGGTGGGTTACAAAGACGTCTGCAGGCTCGCAGCACGCAAGGCCATGTAAGTGAAAGACTCGCAGAAAAAGGCGGGTGAGCGAGTCGAGTAAACCACTCACAGCAAGAGGCGAGTGAGTGTGATGCTGACGTTGAGAGCCACATTCATGCAGGTGTCCCCCGGCTGCACTCGGTACGTCTGCCCACACGACACAGCCGCCGGTGCAGTTGTAGACAGCATTCCGGATCGCACGCACACCGTCGACGACACTCGCAGCGACGGGGACGGCGCGGGCAGCGAGCAGTTCACGCCCGGGTTGAGCGCCTGTAACACTTTTGTGGTAACGTTGTTACGGGAAGCGATGGCGGTGCAGGTGTCGTTTGGAGAGATGAGGTCGACTGCTGCACAGCCCAAGGTGACGTTGGTGTCGCCGGCTACGATGAGTATGTAGCCGGGCGTGAGGGACGGGAGGGAGCAGTCTACGAAGGGGTTTCTGGCCTCGAGGGCCGCTGGGGTGATGTTGAACGCGCGCGCGAGGGACTGAATGGGGGGGAAAGGGGAGGCGAGGGGGAGAGGCAGAGGGAAGGGATGGGGGGAGGGGAGAGGGAAGGGAGGGGAGAGGGAAGGGAGGAGAGAGGAAGCAAGGTGTGAGCGCTTGAGGAAGTGAGGTGGAGAGAGAAGCAAAGCGGGGAATCACAGCAGCAGCAGCAGCAGCAGCAGCAGCAGCATCAGCAGTGCGCATCACCTGGCAGGTGTCTCCCGCAGCAACGGTGTAGATCTGCAGGCCGCTCTGAAACGTGCCCAGCACGTATGTGGAAAGAGGGGGAGCGGGGGAAGCAAAGCGAGGGCGGGGGAAACTAAGGGAGAGCGGGGGTAGCAGTAGCAGCAGTAGCAGCAGCAGCGCCTCACCTGGCACGTGTCCCCTGCGGCGACGGTGTAGGTCTGCAGGCCGCTCTGAAACGTGCCCAGCACGCACGTCATTGCGCCGTCCGTGCGCGCGCCGATCACCGAACCCTGCTTGCACCAGGAAGGAAGCGGGGGAGGTGGAAGGGGAGAGAGGGGGGAAGGGGGAGAACGTTATAAAAAGTAGGCGGTGGAATAGAACAGGAAGAAGGGGGCGAAGGTGGGTGGAGGGGGGGGGAGGAAAAGACGAGAGGGGGCGGAGGAGGGAGGAGGGGGACGGGTGGGGGGGGGTTGGGGGAGGTAGAGTCGTACAGTGGGGCAAGAGCAGGTGTAGCTGCCGTCGAATTTATTCGAGCAGTTTCCCCAGCCGCACGGGTTTGGGTTCGCGCCGCACGGGTCCGCCGGAACACATTTGGGCGGCCCGGTCGACTCCCTCCTCTCCACAAACCCCGCGGGGCACGTACACCGCGCCGCGCCATCCGAACCCAATTTGCACGTGCCCGCACCGCACGGCTGCGGGCGAACGTTACACGGGTTCGCACTGCTTCGCGAATCGTAAAAAGTTGGGTACACCGCAGGTTCGCTGTGGATGTTACACTTCCCACTCGGTTGGCTGTCGTTGAAAATCGGCAGCTTCATGTAACCAATTTCGCCCCAATCCGGCCCCCAGGTGTTTTTCAGCAGCCAATAGGGTCCTTCCGTCGCATCCAAACTGTAGCCCATCACAATCATCGCATGGTCGATATCTTTTCCGCAAGCTCCTTTGAATAAGCCACCAGTGTAACCCCGAAAATCGTCGCTATCCGTTGCGATGTAAACCAGAACCGGCTGCTGCGAAACCGCTTTCATTAGCGAAACCGCGCTTTTCGCCGGGACCTTTTCCCACCCGCTCACGTTCCCCATTTTCACCGCGCCGGCTTGCAATCCTTGGCAAGTCAACCCATCCATAGCGGTGTACGGATAATCAACCTCCCGCGCGACGCCGCCGTTGCTCATCGCGTAAAGAAACACCCATTCCGGCCAGCCGCCGCTACAGCATTTGCCCGTGCCGCAGTCGCAGACCTGCTGCGGCGCGAGGGGAACGGGCGCCGTGGCATTGAACGCGAGGGCCCAGAGCATGGAAAGGAGGTCCGTCGCTGCTAACGCCCAGCAGCTCTCGCACTGCAGAGGGAGGGGGATGGAGGGGGGACGATGCGGGGAGGGGGGACGATGCGGAGAAGGCGACGGAGGCGGAAGGGGAAGGGGGAAGTGGGGAGGGGGAAGGGGAGAGGGATAAGAACACAGTGATGAGAAGGAGAGGGCGGTAACCCTAACTTGACTCCCAATACCCGAACCAGTTGCGCCCGAAAACGGAAACAACCTAGCAGCCCCGTCCGGCACCGCGTTAAACCCAGCAGAACCGACGTCGACTCTCCCTTACCCCGTCCTGGAGCAGCAGGCCCGTCCTGTACCGCGACGCGCGCCAGTCGACGAACCGCAGCTGCGACACAGTTTCGAAACGGTACCACGGCTGGTTCAGGTCGCCCGTCATTGGCGGCGACCCCAGCGGCGGCGCCTGAATCGGCACCACGTCGGTGGTCAACAGCCGCCGCGCCCGCTCCGCGGAACTCAGGCGGGGGCTCAGCGCGCGTAGCGCCCCGGACCGCCGCGGGATAGCGCTGCCGCCGCTGCTGCTGATGCTGCTGCTGCTGCTGCGGGCCGTGATACCGCTAGCAAGGGTCCTACTAATCACGGTGCTGCGGCCGTTCCGGCCGCTCGTGGTGATGCGTTCCATATCTGTCGTCGCGTCGCCATACCCCTCCTGCAGAAACTCCTGCGCGATTTCTTCGAGGCTGCTGGGCTGCGGCGCGTCGTGTTTCACGGCGGCCCACTTCTCCCGCATGTGCGCCTCGAACAGCGGCTGCGGCTGCTCCGTCAGCTTGGCATCTCCGCGATCGCCGCCGCCGATTGCGGAAGAGGGACGCCGCAATGAGTCTACTGTAGCGCCGTTGCGGCTGGCCAGGGTTGCAGTCGGGTTGAGGACGGTGAGAAGGGCGAGGAGGGCTACGAGCATAGAAGAACGCGAAGAAGGTATTCGTCTCCACATCAGGAAAATTGGAAACTGTCGTGTACCGTTCCCTTCCATTTTAGCCGATCCGTTTCGAGCCGACTTGAGCATTAAGTTGGAGGGTCGCATCGCCGCAGTCTGCATGCGCTGCGACGAGCTGGAGTGCCATTTGCGGCGGGGACTCCTCTCAGACTGATTCGTTACGAGCGTCCGTCCATCGCTGTCACAGCGGCCGGCTAAATTACTGCTGGAGCAGCCACCCGACCAAGAACCGTCAGCGGCACAGCCTCCTAGTCTATTCTCAAAGATCGGATGCATTGGGGTCAGAAACCTGAGCACGTGTCTAAAGCTCGAGCTCTAATCTCTATCGGTTGAACGGCGCTACGGAGTCAAGACGGCCTTGAACCTTGCGAAACGTTCCAGCTACTTGGTCAGACCCGAGATGTGCTTCTAAGCGACACCAGCCTATTAACTCGTTTAACGAAAACGATATTTATGTCGCTTCGAAGCGTCACGGCGAACAACGTATGAGAACATTCCTACCGCAGATTAGCGTCGCCAAGGATCTCCTGCGAGTAGCTCCGTCAGCTGAACGGTGATAACCTTCCAACTCAACTGAAGGGCGGTTGAAATTGCTGTTGCTTGCGATCGCTCCGTCGCGCCACTTCTGTTGGTGAAACCTTTCTCCAGTCCTGTCAATCGCGTTGCGCTGGACCTGCTTTCTCTAACGTAAAATTCCGAGAGATTTGCTCAATTCCGCGGAAGCGCACTTTGTTTTATTATCGCCACGTGGCGTGCCTACGATCGCGCAAGCCGCGATCTGTTTTATTGTTATCACAATTTTCATGGCAAGTTTAGTGGATCACATGTACTGAGCTGCCCGCGGGCAAAAATAAAACCCATTTGGGCCTGGCATGCGTTAGGGAGGCATCAACCCTAAACACATTGCCTCTAAGTTTTTAGGGTTGATGCATCCCTAACCCATGCCCGGCCCAAATGGGTTTTATTTTTGCCCGCGGGCAGCGCGGTACAAGTGACCCTGTAAAACTTAACTAAAATTCCCTTTGAAATTTGTGGGAAAAATAAAACAGATCGCGGTTTGCGCGATCGTAAGCACGCCACGAGGCGAAAATAAAACGAAGCGCGATTCCGCGAAATTGAGCAAAACTCTCTAAAATTCCGCTGGGCGTCTCGGCAACAGCCGCAGGAGCTGCACGTAACGTACGTAACCCTTGCGGAGAACCGCTTTGCGCCTGGACCTGGAGGTTTCCGTCTGCGAAAAAGTAAGTGGTCCAGGTAGCGGTGGTGATGATGGCAGATGACAGTGCTGGAGAACGTTGTGTATTGGTTCGAAATGGGTGGGAGGGGGTGGGGTAAGGTAGAAGCAGGAAATGTAGAAAGGGCTGACTTGTCATCCTGCCGTTGGGTGGAAGGGGCACAAGCCGGACCAGTATTAATTGGGGGAGGGGAGGGTAGGGCAGGGTGGGAGGAGCTGATTTTGTGCAACACTGGGCTGATTTGTCTGCCCGAGTGGAGCTGTCGGTGCTTCTTTCACCACCGATGCAAAGCTGGCCGAAGGATGGACGCCTTGGGGCGACAAAATCAACCCCTTGGGAAGCTTGGCAATTCGCGCAACTGCCAGAAACGAGAGTGGAAGAGGGGCTTCTCGCACGACAGGTCAGCAGTTACAGTACAGCCGCCGCACTTCTGCTGCAGGTGCATCCGTTTCTGTGCAAGGTGGGGAGGCTCTGGTTCATTCCCGTTCGAATGGGCGGAAATTTGTGGCAGGGACGCCGTAATCACGAAAACGTTTAATGCCCCCACTAAATTTTATGTACTCTGTTTTTGCGACCAGGGGAAGCGTCGGATTATAAGGTTTCTATCCGTACGTGGCCATCATCCAGCCAGCGTTCACTTAGAATGAGGGCTTTTGGGTTAACTCAAAATGAGTTGTGCGAACGCGTCCGCAGTTGACATACAAACACGTGGGATACAATCTTGGAAGAGCAGTTGCGAGTCCGATTTCGGTGTCTCGGTCACAAAAAGGTCACGACATTAAACGGGATCTCAGCGGAACAGCCTTGTACTAGCTTCAAGGCAGGAAACCTGAAGCGAGGTCAGATGTGATAAACGTCGCCAACGTCCAGTCTCGACACTAAGGGCGTGTAAGATCCCCGTGCATCACCATTCGGCCATCAAAATTTGGTGGCCGTTGCGAAACGCGATGGTGTTTGAAACGCTTGCAAGGCGGTTCAGCGCGGTGCAGTACGATGCTTAGGGCTACTTTCGCATCGGCCACCAAATTTTGATGGCCGAATTGTGATGCACGGGGATCTTACACGCCCTAACAGCAGGCCCGTGAGGGGATATGATGGACAATACGCGAGATTGAAATCCGAAACTTCTTGTACCTTGTATATGGTACTAGGGGTGGATTCGGGCGGCCAACTTCATTGATACTCAAATTATGCCTGACGCGGTTTGCGAGCGTACTCAATTTCGATTTCTCATCGCTGATTGGTTCTCGCTTTTCAATCACACTTTTCAGGCCGAAAACACCTCCTAAATGTCATAGAAACGGAACGCGATAACCGAACTTAACTAGACAATATTATGTGGAGGTGCTACCTTACAATAGAGAAAAAAACATTGAATACTCAACCCTTTACAAATAAAATTTGTATAAAGCGCGAATTTCATTTAGATAAAAAGCCCATAGGAAAAAATGCAGACAAGGAATAACTTACTTGAATAGGGTCGACGACATAATGCGACAAGGTTTTAAGGGTTGATGCCATCCTTACTGGATGCCTTTCAGTAGGAGGGCTGTTTTTAATTGCCTTTCGGGTAGCAAGCTCCGCTGGGAGGTGTTGTTTGTTCTAGCATATAAACCTAAACACTAGACGACATTCCGTATTTAGGGTTGACATTACCAGATTATTTCTTGGTTATCCAAGCGTTTTAGTATGTTTCCTTTTTGGTTGGGTATGTGCGGACCTGCTGGTGGCGACTTTGTTTCAATATTGTGCTTATAATGTTTAAAACAAGTATTTGTACTGACTATACTGCGAAATTGTCGGTTGAGTACGCTTGCAAACCGCGTCAGGCATAATTTGAGTATCAATGAAGTTGGCCGGTGGATAGGGGGTTTATTCTGAACAAGCTTTTGCAAATCCGTTTCAGCCAATGGCCCAACTGGTCAGGTGTCTTGCTTCCCCAAGCCCGTGGCGGAAATCCCCGCGGACCCCAACTGACCTGATTTGTCAGGCCAGCGTCAGACTCACACAAACACACAACCTGGCTGAAATGACCGCGTTCCACGGCGTACAGTGCGGTGGGCTCCCACTTGCAACACTGTGTGATCCGTGTCAGCAGTGCCGATTTGGGGGACGAAATCGGCCAACATCAGCACGCCCATTGAAAACGACAAGCGCGAAATGAAAACCGAAGCACGATCCCAAAAAAGCTGTCGCGGTGGTGAATACAGCTGTGACTGTAGAAATTGGATATAAAATATGGAGGAGCATGTTTGAGGTCTTACATATCAACAAAGCTCCATAAAAGCCACCATCACATCACACTGCCAGATGTCAACACTAAATGCCAGAAGCAGTATTCACACAGAATTCACAACCCCATCGATGCACAGAAATTGCGGCTCATTAAAGTAGGATCGGCCACACCACCGCCAACTCTAGACATGGCAGGTGCTGACGGGGACTGCGACGCCAGCTGGCGGCAGAATAGAAACGCAGCCTGGATCCTGTCTTCCGGAGAAGCATCCGGAGCAACCACTGCAGCCAGTCCCTTCATTTCCCTAGCCACAGTCACGTACTGGCCAAGCAGACTCATGACTTCTCTTTCTGCTTCCTTCAGCACTGGTAGTGGAATCTGGTGAGCAGTGAGGGAGGGGAGAAAGGTGGAGAAGGGGTAGGGAGAAAGTGAGTTTGACGAGGAGTGGATAGGTAGGGTAGAAGAAATAAAGCAGATGTTTGCACACATCCACGCCATAGGCATACTCTTTAACAGCAACAAGGCATTGCAAGTGTTTCATAGCAATAGCTGTAAGGAAATTTCCCACCCACAACACAGCTCTCACCAGAGCGGAGGGTCCCTCATATGTCTCTTCAGTGCCTGCAGTCTGCACTGGCTTGGGCGTGAGCAGATCAAAGAACAGCTGTAGCGCTGCTGACAGGGTGCACATTTGAGGCACCTCAATCAGAGACTCACCAGAGTGGAGGGACCCTCGTAAGCCTCCCCGGTGCCTGCAGCCTGCACTGGCTTGGACTGAGCAGATCAAAGAACAGCTGTAGCGCTGCTGACAGGGTGCATGTTTGAGGCACCTCAAACAGAGACTCACCAGAGCGGAGGGTCCCTCATAAGCCTCCCCGGTGCCTGCTGCCTGCACCGGCTTGAGTGTGAGAGGATCAAAGAAAAGCTGTAGCGCTGCTGACAGGGTGCACATTTGAGGCACCTCAATCAGAGACTCACCAGAGTGGAGGGACCCTCGTAAGCCTCCCCGGTGCCTGCAGCCTGCACTGGCTTGAGCGTCAGCGGGTCGAAGAACAGTTGTAGCGCTGCTGGCTGGGTGGACTGCTGTAGCGATGCGTCCGGCAGAGAGGCTGCTTGCAGAGAGGCTGCTTGCAAGGAGGATGCCTGCAGGGTCGGGTTATACGGCTGTAGTGACAGCAGGGAGTTGGACTGCTGCTGCTGGTGCAGCGAGACTGGCTGAACCGACTGGTAGTGCGTCAGAGGCCTGGTTACGTCGACAGATTGCTGCTGCTGTGGGAGCGACTCCATAAGAGGCGATTCGTTACTGTGCGAGCCGAGGGCCAGGGGCATGAAGAGGAGAGCGCTGAGACCCACTGCTGCTGCTGCCTTGGCGAAAAGAGCTGTGAGGGAGGAGAAAGGCGCAGGGGGTGAAGAGGGGGACTGCTGGGTTGATGTGGCAGGGGTTTCGGTCGCGGGAGGGAGAGAAGCCACAGGAACAGGAGAGGCGGGATCAGAAGAGGGGGGAAGAGAGGCGGGCGGGGTGGAAGTGGAAGAGTTTGAGGCAGAGGAGGGAGATGCGAGTGTGCTGCTGCTGCTGCTGCTGCTGCTGCTGCTGCTGCTGCTGCTGCTGCTGCTGCTGCTGCTGCTGCTGCTGCTGCTGCTGCTGCTGCTGCATCGTTGCTGCTCTCCTCGAGCAATTCTTTCACATCTTCTGTGTGCGTGCCCGCTTTCTTGTCTCCCTCTCCAGTCGCCTCTGCCTGCTGCTGCTCCTCCTGCTCCTGCTGCCGCTGGTTCCCTGAATCAATTGCATCCTTTGAAGCTGTCTTAGCTGCTGCAGGTGCTGCTGCTTCTCTGGCTGCTGCTGCCGCTGCAGCGGCTGCGGCGGCGGCAGCAGCGGTGGGGGACGGTACAATAGGTGCAGCAGCTGCTGCTACTGCTGCTGCTGTGGCTGAAGCGGGTGCTGGGCTTGAAACCTGAGAGGCTGAAGCTTCGGGCACTGTAGCAGGCGGCGCTGCTGCTGCCCGGGAAACGGAAGGAACCCGGGCGGGAAGAGGTGCAGCTCCGAGCTCACGGCGTTTGGCATCTATTGCCACCACGGCTTCGCGCAGACACGATGCTGACGCCAGAAGCTTCTCCTCCTCCTGCATGTAGGGGAATGCAACAGATAGGAGCAGCAGATGTCTGAATCAGCAAAAATTTGGCTTGGCATGAACGTGTGAAGGTGGATGGAAGGCAAAGAAATGGCAAGGAATGAAGACTAAAAGCGACAGAACAAGTTGGGGAGCTAAAAACCTTTGAGAAAAAGGCCCTAGAAACATTGATCTGGGTAATGATAAGCTATGCTGTAAATGGCAATGGAGATACCACGAATTATTTTCTTATGATTGTGATGATGATCGGAGCTTCACCTCCAAATAGCTCCTCTCTATGGGCTGCTTTGATAAGGGCAAAGGGGTAAGTTGCAAACGCCGATAGCGGATACACGAAACAAGCGTACCTCAGTGAAATGCTCCTCTATGGGCTGATCTGATACAGATGATAACGCTGCTGCATCCACTGCTGCTGCATTCTTGCCCAGCCGAGACACATGCTTCTTCACCCTGTTGCCACACCCCATCAACAAGCCATGCACAGAGAATTCGCATGCCACGCACATGCCAGACAAAGCCAACAAGGCAATCAGTCGACAAACAGGAAGCAGCCTGAGCAACCAGAGTAAAAAAAGTTTGACCGCATTGACTGCATTGACCCACTCACTCCAACGAGTGCATTGACTGCATTGACCAGAGTGACCGCACACAACCCACCTGGACTGCAGGGCAGCAGCCCCTCGCGACAGCTCAGCTGCCAGCCTGGCATCATTCGGCTCGTTCTGCCGGCCATCCACCCCTGCCGCCCCTCCCATGCCGCCCACTCCTGCCATACCAAGCAGCTTCAGCGTTCCAGCACTTAACCCATTCAACAGCCCTGCCAATCCCCACCCCTCTCCCCTTCCCGAACCTGCCAATGCCAACCCTATTCCCCCTGCAGTGTTTCCCCGAGCCTGTAGCTGCTCCTCCAGCCGAGCCACTTGCCAAGCCATCTGCCGAACCTCGGACCTAGCCTTGGCGAGAGCGCGGAGGCTCGTCGAGTCCTTGTCCCGGGCAGCCGCAAGCTGCCCAAACAGCGCCGACATTTTTTCTTCTGCCCGGCCAAGCAATGCTTGAGCCACGCCCTCTTTTCTCTGCAACTCCTTCACCTGCCCCTGCAGCAAAAAAACCCTCTGACTGGCTGATTCTGCTGCCCCACGGGCAGCTGAAAGCTCCTCCTCCAACCTCCTCACCATCTCCTCCTCCCCTGCAACCTCCTCCAACGAATCAGAACCTGCCACCTGTCCCGCGCTGCCGTCACCGCTGGCACCGGATCGCAGCAGGTTGAGCTGGTGAAGGAGCGAGGTGGACCGCTGGGTGGCTGACGTGGCTTCCTGTGTCGCGCTGGCGAGCTCTGATTGGAGGAACGCCACCTGGGCTCGGAGAATGGAGAGAGAACCCTCCACCTCCTCTGCTACAGTCGACTGGGGAGAGCAAGAGAAGTAAGGAGGGGGGAGGGGGAACATTGGGAGGGAGGGAGGGAAAGGAAACGGGGGAAGGAGAAGTGTTCAGCAATTGCAAATGCGACCTCGGCTCGGAGGGAAAGTAAACGAGAGAGAGCCCTCCACCTCCTCTGCTACTGTTGACTGGGGAGGAGCAGGGGAATGGGTTTGAGGGGTAGGGAGGAGAGAGCGGGGCGGAGGGGAGTAAGGGATGGGTGGGAGTATGGAATGGAAATGAGTGAGGAGAGGGAAACGAAATAATACTTGCAACCGCCTCAAGGGGGGTTCCCTCCATACAAGCAACCAGCTAACCTGAGCTGACAGGCTCTCCACTTTGCTCGACAGCACCCGAACCTCCTCCCGAGCCTCAGCCTCTTTCCGAGCCACCTCATCCAGCTGCCTCCGAAGCTCCTCCTGCCCGCCCATTGCCGCCACCACCGCCTCTTCCGCCGCCCGCTCCCTCTCCCTCCCCTCTGCCACCTGCCTCTCCAGAAACGCCAAACGCTCCCGCTGGGCCGTGCGGGCGGCAGCCGCGTCGGTTAATTTGTCAGCTAGTGCAACAACCAGGCCGGCGAGGCTCGCCTCGTTCTCCAGAGCCTCAGCCACCGCCGCCCGGGCCTGGACCAGAAGCTTCCTCGACCCTTCCTCCCCGCTCTCTCCCGCCGTCTCGAGCTTCGCGAGAAGCTTCTCGGCAGCTTCCCTCCTCTCCCTAGCCTCCCTCTGCATCCTCTTAGTCGCTCCCAACTCCGCCATCACCGCTTCAGACCACGCTACTGCCCCTTTCCACGCCTCCCTCTCCCTCATCTCCCTCCCCTTCACCTCCTCGAGCTCCCGCGCGACACCTGTCAGCGCCTGATTGGCCCGTGCGGCCGCCTCAGTAGCCGCCTGCTCCCTCTCCCTCAGGACATCTACAAGCCTAGCGAAGAAATCGCACCGCCCGTGCGCGATTCTAGAAGCTTCCTGAGCGGCCGCAAGCTCCTTTTCTAGCTGCTCCACCTGCAGAGAAAGCTCCTGCACACGTGCCTGAGCCGCCCTCTCTCTTGCTGCTACCACCTCTAGAGCCTCATTTGCCCTCTCTGCTTCTCTCCTCGCGTCCCTCTCTCGGCCTTCTAGTTCTCGAACCACACCTGATAGGAACCCTACTCGCTCTTTCGCCTCTGCTGCTGCTTCTTTTGCCGCTGCCTCCCCTTCTGTCACCCTCGCGAGGTCTTTTTCGAGAGTGAGCAGAAGCTGCCGAGCCGATGCCGCTCGCTGCTCTGCCTGCTGCTGCGCCGCCCGCAGCTCCTGCTCCCGCTCGCGCCGTTCCCGGACCTCCGCTTCCAGAGCTGCCACCCGATCAGCTTCGGCGGCTGCCAAACCTAGAGCCGAGGCTTGGGCTGCGGTCGAAGAGGAAGGTGCAGAGGAAGCTTCTCTCGCTTGCAAGGACTGCAATTGGCCGGCGAGTTGACTTGCCAGCTGGGTGGCAGCAGCTGCCTCTTTCTCAGCCGCGGCGTGTTTGTCCTGTAGTGCGCTGAGCTGGCGCAGGAAGAAGTTGATCCGATCCTCCGCCGCCCGGGCGGCCTGGTCAGCAGCTTGCTGCTTCTCCTCGAGACGAGAGATGTGAGCCTTGAGCAGAGCAATGCGGTCGGACGAGGTGAGCTGGAGGTAAGGAGAATGTGGATTGACGAACATGTGATATGTCAATGTCATGGTATGAAAGAGATGGGAAAAAGGGATGAGGTGAGCACGAGTCCATGTCATAGGGGGCTGATGAAAGGACGAGGTGAGCTGAGCTGGGGGCATGGTGCGAGGAGCACGTGGCACGTGGCAGCAAGGAAGAGAAGAACACCGGGATGGTTGGAGAGACTATCTTGTAAGGGCCTAGAGAAGGAACACACGCAGCGGGAAAGAAGACATGGGGAGGAGGATGGGTGGAGATAGATGCTTAGAGAGCAGGTGAGTACAAGACAGGGCAGGGCAGGGGAAGGGCGGGGAGGGAAGGGGAGGGCGCGGGAGGGGGGGGGGGGGGGCGGGGGAGGGTAGATGAGGGTGGGGGATGACAAGGCAGAAGAGGGGAGGGTATGCTTTTTGAGAATTCTCAAAAAACATACAAGGCAGGGTAGGGCCGGGAATTCCCAGCACTGACCTCGACATCGTCCATCTGCTTTTCCGCTGCCCGTGCTGCCCTGCGAATGGCCGCCTGCACAGAGAAAGGTGCGGCATGGGATGGCATGGCATGATACGTGAGTATGTGAGTGAGTGTATGTGGGTGTGTGTTATGTGTGCGCGTGCGCGCACTGAGGTGACATTTGAGTCGACTCAAAAGTCACCTCGTTACAATGGCACACCACTTTTTGAGCCGACTCAAAAGGGATGGCATGGCATGCTATGTGCATACGTGAGTGATGTGGGTGTGTGTAATGTGTGTGCATGCGTGCACTGTTTACACGCCTGCAGACAAGGATGAGAAAAAATGCAGCTGAATGGTCAGGTCAACGCATCAGATCAGATCAGATCAGATCAGATCAGATCAGATCAGATCAAGTGCACGCATGCACGGATCAACGCACATGCATGCATGCAAGGATCAACACGTACCTTGGAAATGGCATCAGAGAGTGCCACGTCAGCAGCCACCATGCGCTGGAAGCCCTCCGCCACCAGCTTGCGCTCTGCCACCTGGCAGCACACGATTGGGCAGAAGAAGTGCGAGTGGAGCAGAAATCAGAAATCATGCAAAGTGGGGCGGAGCAACAACAGAGTCATACTGACCGAAAACAATATGGGGGAGGGGAAAGGGGGAGAGAGAAGAGATGCGGTGCGGTGCGGTGCAGTGTGTCCCCCACCTGCCAGTCATTGGCACTGGAGCCAGGCACGCCGTTTGCTATCCTCCTTTGAAGCTCCTCCGCTGCAAGGTCTGTAAGACGCCTCATGTTGCTGCCTGCTAGCTGTGCGTGGGCCTGTAATGCACATTTAAACACATGCATACACATGCAACCACAAGCATGGACATGCATGCGCACGCACGCAACCACATATGCACACAATCACCCGCATGCACACACACACACACCCATATGCACACATACACACCCAAATGCACACACACACACCCATATGCACACACACACCCCCATATGCACACATACACACCCAAATGCACACACACACACCCATATGCACACACACACACCCATATGCACACACACACACCCATATGCACACACACACACACACCCAAATGCACACACACACACCCAAATGCACACGGATGCACAAGCAAGCATACATGCATACAACCACGAAAGCACATACACAAAGTTAACCAATGCTGGAAATAGACGGCTTCAGCCACATCCGTAAGCAACTGCCATACCCCTGGCAACCCACCTGAGAAGGCACCTGAGAAGGCACCTGAGAAGGCACCTGAGAATGCACCTGACAATGCACCTGAGAATGCACCTGAGAATACACCTGAGAATGCACCTGAGGATGCACCTGTAACGCCACGCACCTTCTTCCAGACGCGCATGGGGGGGTCAGCAGCCGGACAGGCTCGGCGCATGTCTGCCAGAGCAGTGCTCACGTCCGCGCCTTTCACGAAGGTCGTGTAGCTGGTAGCCACGTGGCACAAGGAGACACGTGGCGCAAGGGGAGTCGTGGCAAAAGAAGACAGGTGGTGAAGCGAACGAGACACGGAATGGAACATGAGGTAAGGGAGACGAAGCGTGGAGCCCGCACCTGCTCCGGGGAAGGAAGGATTTGAAAGATGAGCAGGTGCGGAATGAGCAATGCGCTAGAGGGAGAGACAAAGAGCGAGGGGGAGGGTGGAGAAGAACGACAGGGGAATGGGGCGGAGAGCAGAATGTGGGACCGTGGGGGTGGTGGGGGTTTTGGGGCGGTGAAAGTGCGAAAGGTGCAGAGAAAGCTAAAGAAGATAACCGAATCAAGTGAAAGAAGGAAGTTGAGGGTATTTACCCAAGGGCAACAAGGGCACTGGCGGAGTGGGGCGAGCAGCTGACAATTGCCACTCTGTGCCCTGTTGCCACCAGCGCCGCCACCACTCGCACCGCTTCCAACACCTGCGAAACCACGTCCTCTCCCCCCTCCCCCTCCCCATCCTCCTCCAGGCACCCCTCTAAATCCGACTCCCCCGCTTCCCCCTCGGATAACACTCCCCGCCACCCCTCCCCCGGTTCCCCCTCCCCCCGAGCCCCCGCTTCCGCCTTTCCCCCCGCGGCGGCTTCCCCCACGGGCAGTTTGAGCGCCACGCCGCCCTCTCTTGCCAGCTGGCGGGTCACGGCGGACCAATCAACCGCCAGCGCTGACTCGTGCTCCGACGGCTGTGATTGGCGGAGAGGTGGGAAGGTGGGGAGAGAGGCGGAGGGGAGGACGATTAGAGCGCGGGGACAAGTGAGGGAGAGACAGAGAGAGAGAGAAAGAGTGAGGAAGGACGGTATCGGAGAGAGTGTGCGGTGGAAGGAGGGGAGTGAGAGAGCGAGAAACGCGGGCGACGAGTGAGTCCTCTAACAGAAAGCAGAAACCTGGTTGCATCACTAACCAGTAACGAGACGACAGCTGTGACGCCCGCCTTCGACGTCACCACGTCCACGTCAGCAGCCGACACGAGCGGCGAGCCAATGAGTACGTTCTCTGCCACCTGGCACCACGCGATTGGCCACTCCGCCTCCATGTGAAGACTCTCTTGAACGCTTTGCGCCAACGAACCCCCTTCCCCCTCCCCCTCCCCCTCCCCATCCCCGTCCCCCTCATTGGCGGTAACCGCGCGGAGCATCCGCGGATACGTCCCCGCGCGCCTCTCGTCCCGCGGGGTCCCCGCGTGTCCGTTTCCGCTTCCCCCTGCAGCGCGCGAGGGCAGCGGAACGATCGGAGGAAGCGCGCGGATGGTGGAAATCAGCTGGAATTGCGCGACCATGGCGCTGCTGTCGCCTTCCGCAAACACCACCTCGTGCACATACCCCACTCCCTCCGCCCCTTGCCACCGATCCCCACCCCTGCTGACTCCTAGAAACCCGTTATCAGCTCCTGAAGAACCAGCAATGCCGGCGATTTTCGGAATGTTCGACCCGTTAAGGTTCTTTCTGTTGACAGCATTGTCCGCCGAGCGAAAACGGCTATCGGGCTGGTCTTTATTGCTGACATCGAAGCCGCTGAAATCCGACGGTCCACCGCCCGTCGCTTGGATCACCAACGGCCGCGATTTCTTGCCGTCGCTTAGGCGGAAACTGCCGGCTCGCCGGAGAAATTTTGGCGAATGTCGCGAGAAGCGTGGGGATAAATAGCCAGGATATAACTGCTGGTTATTTCGTGGTGACCTGATATATGTACCAGGCCGGCGTAAGCCTGCTACTGTGACCATGCCGCGGCCATTGCGGAGACGGCTCGTCAATCTCAGCCCTGCTGCACGGCCAGTTGCGGAAACCGGCTGATTAGACGGTCTCGCGGTAACGCGAACGGTAATTGGTGACCTGTGGATGTCCTCCTGTCGCCACGTGGCAAACGATACGGTCCGTAAGGTTGCCATTGCGATACGGAGTTGCTCCGAGTTAATAGATCCGCGATGGACGACAGAACGAGGCAGCAGGCACGGCGACTAATGCGGCTTACTCGACTTGCTTGCTTTAGGGTGGGGTCAGAGCCTCTGTGAAGTGAACTAACTTCTAGGACAGGTGAGGTTTTAGGCTGGGCACGAACGATTGTACGGAACATGTTTACCTCAGGCCGAGGCAGGAGATTGGGCTCGGTCGGCGCAAACACCCGTGCGGCAGCATCCCTCCGCCAAACCACCTTACCTTGACAAGTCATCAGGTGTTGGTGCCCGCGCAACCTGACCTGCCACCTTGGATTTTGCCTACCGTTTGATTGGTACCCGTTGTGGCTTGTCAGCCAAACCTAGAATGACCAAGTACAGTTCATCTTAATACACTACTCATCTTTCTGACGGTAAAAAATACGGTTTCCAATTTCCTCCGATCCCATATGGAGCGACAGAGCCTTTTCAGCAAGGATGCTGCTTCCTTTGTAATCGCTGTAATGTACCACCTCGACCCTCCTGCAAAGTTCCAGTATCGCACTGAACTGTATCGCAGCACTAGCCATCCTGTCAGGCAAATTTTGCGGCTGCTCGTGCTGCAAAAGTGAGGCTCTGTCCTCTCCTCTCTCCTCCCCTCTCCTCTCCTCGCTGCTGCATCAGACACTACAGTAATCGGAAACTAAAGGCGCGTGTGATCAAAGTTCGAACTTCCCAAAGTTCGAACTTTTAGAAAGGTTCTACACGGTAGGATACAATTGAGCGATGTCTCTCCACGATGCAAAGCGGTTTGAGTTCGAACTTTGACAAAAATCCTTGGATCACACGCGCCCTAAGCTAACCAAATCGGAACTCTCTCTGCGCGTCATCACAGTGGAATCGAATCACACCTCAGTTCTGATCGCCCTCCTCGCCTCAGTGCTCCTCAACCTAATTAATTACGCACGTACGTTGTACACCCTCATTCTCAGTCTACGCACAATCGGGAGCAGCGACAACAGTGTTGTCAGGTAGCGTCTCTGTGCTTGTGGCCGAACCCCCTAATGTTGCCAGGCACACCATGCACCAAGCGCCAAAACAGTAACATTCGAAACGACTTGTTCACTTTGTCCTACACTGTGGCCAAAGATTCCACATCAAAACACACAAGAAACAGACAATTCCTAACACAGGTTCAAAACACATACAGAATATCTACGTTCGGTAGAAAGGGGTAACGTATGGTAGAGCGAAAAGCAACGGCAGCCAACCACACATGTGAGCGCACTGTACACTTCCTGCCAGTCAAAGTCAACAGCTGCATTACCAACGTGGCAGTCGTGATTGTGCTTGTAGAGTATGTGCATGCACCATTCTAGGCACGTTGCAGTCACTACAAGCGTTCGGTGCATGTGGCGATTGTGCACAGACTGAGAATGAGGGTGTACATTTCCTTACCTCCGACTCCTAAACTGTACAGTACCTTAGTAGGCTCTGCGGAAGAGGTTCTGGAAACTGAACCTAGAAAAATTATCCTCCAGCTTAGCAGCCAGATCAGACCGTTCAGAATTGAGGAGCGTATCACACTCTCGCTTTAGACAGGCACGTGGAAGGTTACCACAGCTTGCACGCGACGTGTTCGCTTTAGAGCGAGAAAATGACACGGGCAATGCGGTCGTCTTCCTGGAAAAGCTCCACGCCAGCTTAGGGCGCGTGTCTTTTGGTGTAGACGTTCGAATTTTTGGTTGAACTTTTTCTGGTTACCCTATTCGTTTATTTCGCCAAAACGTTCGCCAGGACGTCGTGTGTCCACGTACACTTCCGGCATCGGAAAATGTTGAGCCCCCAAGTTGAACCCTCATCAACAAACAGGTTGGCACGAATGTGCGAGCGTGTGTCCACCTCATCACTGACAGCGACGATGCGAAGTCTGCGACGCTCGCAGCTAGCATCGTGCGCACGAGGGTGCTCGTCAGCGCGAGTCCCGGTGGCGCGATGTCAAGAGCCCAAACCGGGTAACCTACAAGCGTAGGTCGCGGCTCGGCTGGGCTGCAAAAGTTCAACTTCGATAGTTGAACTTTTGTTTGTCGCGTGATTTTCGGGAGGGGTGGAACCGCGGCTCGGTTTGCAGTTGGTGAAAACTCGAGCCTAGCTCGAGCTAGGTTCATATGACTACAGTTCAACAAAAAATTCGAGTTTTGCATATAAAAACCAAAAGACACGCGCCCTTATAGTCCTTTGGAATTCATCATCTCATCGTACGGACCAACCAGCAGTTCACACGATCCAGGTTGTCGGTAATATTTATGCGGCTCGCGATCTTACGACAGCATCTGGCGACTTGCCGTCACATGTTTCACAAATGTTCGCCGCCATTAAAAGGCGACCTCAAGCGCTTTTTTTTTTTTGTCATGTAAGACACAGGGACCACGGAAAATGGATGGTCGATGGCATGGTATGCTTCCACCCAGCATGTCTCTCCAGCCCTCGCGGGGAGTCGCGGAGTTTCAGGTTCGCCTCAACTCGACATTCTTATTCAAAGTACTCTACAGTACGTTACTAATACACTGTAGATGTATGAATCTCGTTCAACACTCAGCCCGACAATCCCGAGAAACAGTCTCGAGAGTCTCGATTTGCCAGCACGCACTGCCGACCAAACATTACATGCAAGGTCGCTGCTGCTGTGCTGTACTGTACTGTACTGTACTGTGCCACCTGTACCATCCAAGATCAGACTTTGCTGCCAGGAGAATCCGCTCTCTCCATCCGTCCTCTCCCTGTTCTCTCCGTCCTCTCCGCCCTTGCCTGCCTGGCTCGCCGCGTCGCGTTCGCCGAGCTCCCAGCAACAGGGACACCCCTCTGGCTAGGCTCTATGGTAACAGGAGCACTCCTCTGGCCAGACTCCCTGGCTGAAGTTTCCATCATAGACCATACTCCGACTCGGAGAGTGCCTCTTGCGACTGAGACTAGATTCCTTTCTCGCCCGGGGTTTGGATTCGAGTGGGGAGGAGCACGCTAGTAAGGCCCGCTGAGACCGCCGTTCAAGTAGCAGCTGTTTTCCGCAGATGTTGTGTTTGAGCGTCGGTGTTGACATCGCTTTTAGTACTACTGCCACGCAGCGGATACGGGCGATGCAGGCGACTCATCCCCGCTAGGCTTATCCCCGCTAGGCTTATCCCCGCTAGGCTTTTCCCCGCTAGTGCCACACGCGCTACGGGAGCTCGCCAGAGCTGTACCGTTGGTTCTCCTGGCGAATAATCAGCTCTCGCTACCCTCTTGGTCTGCCAGTGTTGGATCTGCACCGTTACTCACCGTAGCTAGTATTGATGCATACTTATATGGCGAACGAACGGCTGATACTATAGTACGAGTTGAGGTATTGCTGCTCGAGCCGCCACCAGGCCTCTTCTAGGTACTTTGGGACTGCCAGCCGGCGAGACTGCCGCTATTGCCATGGCGGAAACTCTCTTAGTATTCTCCGAATCCGCGGGATCCGCGGGTGCGTTCCGGAACGAGCGGCAGGGGATGCAGCGGCGCGACTCGTCGAGGCAGCTCGCCTGCCACATGGACAGCCCACGGCGGCCCTCAGCAGCAGCAGCAGCTGCCACGCTGGCAGCGGGATCTCCGCGGAGCCTGCAGATTCCGGATTCGGAAGCTTCGCGGAACGTTCGTCCGCACGACCGCAGGACCCAGAGCGTCGGCATCTATCCCAGCAACCACGTCAGCAGCCACGTCAGCAGCAGCTCGGATCTGGGCTCGCCTGTACGCGCTGCGCCACGCGGCGGCGGCGGCGGCAGCAAGAGCAGCCGGCAGTTCAGGACACCTCCGAGTCCTCCTGGTCTTGCTGACGTGGCGCCTCCAGTGGTGATGTATCCTTTCACAGCTCCAGCCGCGGCTTGGGCTGCTGCTGCTGGTGCTGGTGCTGATGCTGGCGCCGCCGCAGGTGCTGGTGGTGTTGCTGCTGCAGGGGGGAGTGACAGTATCAGAGGGAGCAGCAGCTCGGCTAAAGGGAGTGACAGCCCTGTTGACTATGTCAGCTATCCTCGATACAGTCACATTTCTCGAGGCAGCCCTCAGTATATTCACATTCCTCCAGAGAGCACTCGTACCCGTCAGTGCGGGCAAGACAGCCCGCGATACGGCAGCGGCGCTGGTGCTGCTAGGAGTGCCACCGTTGCCCCCCTGCCGCCCTCTCCTGCCGGCATATCGTCGCCACATGGCGTGCTGAGAAGAAGTCCACGTGGACCCCTTTCCGGGAGGATCAGCCCCGGTAGTAGCAGCCTCGTTACCAGCAGCTCATTTATCAGAAGCAAGAGCATGTACGCGCCAAAATCTTCCCCGTTATCCGTGGCGTCGAAATGCCACGCGCCAAAATGCCAAGAGGATGATTCAGACGACGCAGCTTCGGGACCGCGATTCGAAGGTTCAGCGCGATTGGTACGGTCTCCGGCCTCCGAGCCTGGCTGGTCCAGGCGATTCGCGTCAGTGGACCTCGACGAATGGGGTGCTACCACGTGTGCTCCGCGGTCTTCTCACGAACTAACCGACCCGTTCAATGCGAACGATGCAGCGTGCGACGGGGGTAACCGGGAGTGCGACGGCGGTAACTGGGAGTGCGACGGGGGTAACTGGGAGCGCGAGAGCGTTGCAACGGAGAGCTCGTTTGGTGCGGAGGATGCGGGGATGTATCGCAGCAGCAGTGCAGGCCATCGGAACCCTGTCTTGGCCACCAGCATTAACAGCAGCAGCAGCAGCCAGCGTGCCTGGGACGACCCGTGCAGCCCTGCTCCTGCGCTGCATATCCCTCATTCTGCCTCTTCTCCTGCTCTGCACGGCTGTGCTGCTGCTCTCCTCGTTTCTGCTCCTGCCCTGCACGGCTCTACGGCTTCTCTGAACGCCTCTGCTGCTCTGAATGTCCCTCATTCTGCCACTTCGACTGCTTGCCACAGCACTGCTGCTTCTTCACACGCTTCTTCTTCAGCTTTATACGCTTCTGCTCCTACTCTTCACGGCTCTGCTGCTGCTTCTGCACACGCCCCGCATGCTGCCCCTTCGAGGAATGACCGGCACAGTGCGTCTCTCCCGCCCCCCGCACGCCAAGGCAGCGGCTCAACCCGGAAGCAGAAGCTGGGGTCCCACAAGAGATCCCATTCGCACTCCGCTGCACCGCACTCTGCTGCACCGCACTCCGCTGCACCGCACTCCCATGCCGGTCACGGCAGTCACGGCAGTCACACCAAGTACCTGCCTCGTCTCGAGATCCCGGGTCAAACGGGTCAACTGGGTCAACCGGTTGCGTTACCCTTCAGGGGGCACAGGAGAACCGTTTCGCACTCCGCGGAACTGCACGCCCGCTCCCCTCTCCCGAAGTACCTGACGCCTCTTGACCTCCCTGGTCTAACCGGTCAAACGGGTCAAACGGCTTCCTCTGCTTCCAGTGCCTCTCCTTCTCACGGCCGCAGCCGCAGCAACGCTCGGAAGGACCCGCATTGTTTGCAAGAATCGCATAAGGTTAAGAAGGAGGATAAGCAGCAGCAGCAGCAGCAGCAGCAGCAGCAGCAGCAGCAGCAGCAGCAGCAGCAACACAAGGGGCAGGATTTGGGGGAATGCAGCGTGGGCGGCGGCAATGAGTCGAGCGACTCGGACGATGATTTTATCGGGCTCTACGCTGCTGTTGTGCGCAGCCGTGCCAGTGGTGGCAGCATGAAGGCGCGTGCTGGGGCCGTGGAGGAGCGTGGTGGCGGCATGAATATCCGTGCCGCCACTGGCAGCGTGAAGGTGCACGCGGCATCGGCGCATGTTGTGGGAGATATGCCTTCATGCAACGCAGTCAGTAGGAGCAGCGATGGGAGCAGTGTGGGAGTGGAAAGCAGCGGTGCCGGCGGCAGCACAGCAGGCGAAACTCACAGCGCAGCACAGTGCTCTTTCCCGGCCAGCGCAGCACAGAGCACGAGTGGAAAGCGGTGTGCCAGCGCAGCACAGAGGACGGACTCTCGTGACAGTCCCAACCTGCCTGCTGCTGTGGAAAGAGGTGCACCAGCCAGTGCTGCAGAGAGGGGAGGAGTGCAAGGGTCGGAGAGGATTGACGAGAGGATGGAGAGGAGGGCGAGGAGGGAAGCACGTAGAGTGAGGAAGGCCATGGCAGCGCAAGAGGAGGTGCCCGAGAAGGAGACTCTCGAGTCGACCCAAAAAACTCGAGAACCGATTGCCCTTCTCCCAGGTGTCGAGGAGCGTAGGGCCGAAAGGAATCCCAGAAGCAGCTTGACTCTCAGAAGCAGCCTTTCTTTGGCCAGCAGTATCAGAACTAGTATCAGCAGCAGCCTCGGGGGCCGGTGGGTGCGGCAGCTTAGGCGGAGCAGCAGCAGCGGGAATGGCAGCAGCTGCGGGCGTGGCAGTGGGAAGACGGGGGGAGGAGTGGAGGATGAGAGGGTTGATGGTGAGGGGGAGGAAGGGGAGGAAGGGGATGAGGAGGATGAAGAATGGAGTGAATTGTGGAGTGAACTGGAGAGTGGTAAGGGCAGTGGTAAAGGGAGTGGTAAGGGGAGTGGACAGCGGAGGGAGAGTAGGGCTAGGAGGAGAAGCAGCAGTTTCAGCCTGAGCAGCATTGCGAGCAGCATCAGCGGTGCGTTTCCCTGGTATTCCACCGACAGCGACGGCAATGTAACACCAGTCAGCGGCTCAGGCCGTCTTACCAGCAGTGTTACCAGCGGTGTCACCAGCGGTGCAAACACAGGAGGTAGTGCTTTGCCATCGTCTGAGTCTCAGCCTCCGCAGCACAGAAGGTCACAGAGCTGGGTGGGGGTGGGGGTGGGGGAGAAGCAGCAGCCGCGCAACCCATGGGAGGCAGAAGGGTTGACTTACAGCTCTCAGGGAGGTGCTAGGCTCGAGAGCCAGTCAATGCAGTCAACTGAGTCAAAGGGGTTAAAGGGGTCAAAGGCGGCAACAATGGGATTCAAGGATGGTGCAAGGACAGGTGGCAAGGCCAGTAGGCAGGGCCATCGGGTTCATACAGCTGAGGGTGCAGAAAAGACGGTACACTTTTACCGTCATGATCAGCAGCAGGGTGCGCATCAGGTGAAACATGAGCAAGAGCAAGAGCATGGTCTCAGGCACACTCGTGCGGAAGAGGCTTGCCATAGGCATGAGCATGGCCGTGGGATTAAGCATGGCAATGGGGGAGATTACCAGCAGCACGCTGGAAGATGGGCATTGAAGCAACCGCGCAGGTTCTTGCGGCAGCTGGGGAAGAAAGTGACGTTCAAGGGGGAGGTTGAGCACATTTCTTAGATAAGAGGTATTTTTTATGGTTTGCTTTCCTGGCCTTATCATTTTTCTGGCAAAACGCGTAGCATGTTTCACTATTGATATAATGCAAAGTTTCACTGTGATTAATGAGGATAACTTTCCTCCTAGTGGGAGAAGCTAACGAAACATAAGCTGTAACTCTTATTCATGACAATATTACCAATTCACTCCTTGTGTCGCTTGTAAACTCAAGTTAACTTGTACTGGTGTACACCGTTTACAGTATTCGCGTTTGCTTTATCGAGCACGAACCTGGGCCAGTGGTGGTACCCTCCAGCCAGCCCAGCAACTTCGTTACGCCAAGCTTGATGCAAGCTGTACGTGTTCAAGCTGTAATTGTCCCTCCCCTCTGCTTCGAGAATCCTGGGAAAGATCGACTCACGTGATTGCTGCCAGTAAAAACGCCAGAAGGTACAATTCGCACAACAGGTGGCGCTAACTGTTCGCAGCACGCGGCAAGCACATCCACAGGCTCTTTTACCTCGAGAATAGCCTAATCTTGGCGGCACGCCAGTTTGGGCGGTAGACTAAGCAGCGTCCGTGTAAAATCTACTGCGGTCCCTGAATCTTGCAGTTGCTCCTGGGCCTAACACCCACACTGCACAGCCAGTCAACCCCCAGAGACTTCATTTCTTGAGACTACCGTAATCGCTCGACAGTTGATAGTAAACGCTGTCGATAAATTCTCGTCCGTTTATTCGCCAATTAAAATGGGCGAGAGTGTAATATTCCAGGTTTCCCGAGGGGCCAACATCATAGACATGCAATATAGTATGGTAACCCTATGCAATGGTATGCAAAACCGTCTTACCTCAGTTTTGGAGTTATTGACAAGCTGTCTTAATAGCGCATTCGTTTTTATTTTTTAGCTTATGACTACCGCGTTTGACTTTGCACTAAAACGTGATTTTTTCGGGCCAAGAAAATAATAAAACCCAATCGGAAAGGATGCGTCAGGGAGGCATCAACCCTAAAACTATGTCCTTTCCCGTGTTTAGGGTTGATCCCTCCCAGAAATGCGTCCAGGTCGCTAGGGGTTTTATTGTTTTTCAGCCCTGCCCTAACAAATGCAGGTAGCAATTTATTGGGTGCAATATATTCTTTCAAAATGGACCCCGTGTAGTTTCATTCCAATGGATTTTTCGTAAAATGTATCGTGCGCGTTTAGCGGAAAATAGTAGCCCGGAGGAAAATTTGTTAGGCGCCGAACGGGGCGCGGTAAGAACCACGAAGATACGAAATCGTCAACGCAACCGATATTTTCCTTTATTGTCCTGCGTCTGCTGTTACACAGTGTTTTGAGTGGCGGAACCAGACAAACTTGCGCAGCAGAACTGGGGTATCGACGGTTTTGCATACAATCGAATAGGGTTACCATACTATATTGCATGTCTATGATGTTGGCCCTTTCCCGAGCCTTCTTGTATCCCCTCCTCAACGAACAAGCTGTCGACGGTCCCGATTTCCCGAGGCTACGGACCGTCGACGCCTGTCGACCGTCAACGCCTGCCCGCTGGTCGGGCTGTCTGATCGGGAACGATGGGACTGTTGCGATGGCTGCTGCGGCGCGTGCGGCGTTCACCGCCTTTGTTACATATCCAGATCCAGTTCATCGGCAATCGCGAACGGCGAGTCAGCGGCAATGGGCGGGAGAAGTAAGACAACTTGCAACCCAGGTACAGCACGGATGGTCCCGCTCTCATGAAAGTTGCCGCGAGCTGCGACGTCGTCATACCTCAACTCTTATTTCCTGAACTATCTAGCTCCATAGGATTAGTTCTTGCTCTCGCTTCGAATTTCAACACTCCGTTGGAGAAAAAAGTGCTCCCGATGAGTACGACTCTCCTATGGCCTGCGGAATATCCGTGTGAAATGCTACTAGCTGATTCCTCCCGCTCCCGTGAGTCGGAACCTATTCCGCGAGTTTGTCCGTGACGCACTCGAAGCTCGTGGCTCTCAGAATGACATTCTCAAACCCTTGGGAGCTCCAGTTATCCACCAGATCCGTCGGCATGCTCCCACGGTCGCCCGACTCGAGACAGTTTACGTCGCTCGCTTCCGAACCGCCCAAGAAAACTCTCCATCGTCGTCATCATAGCTCCAGCATCGGTACTGCCGCTGCGATGCCGTTTCTTTCTGGACCTTGTACTTCTACTGGCAGTGTCATGCCTGTCGATGATTTTTCCGAGTTTTTTCCCCGTTATTCCCATCGCATAGAAGCAGCAGACGAATCTTCCACGTCGTTTCCGACCCGACCCCCGCGGCCTGCGCCGAGCACGCCTGCTCCGCCCCCAGCAGCAGCGGCAACTGCGGCAGCATCTGCTGCTAAGAATACTTTTGAGGCGCCTCAAAAGGCTCCTTCAGCAGCACCAGCAACGTCAGCGTCGGCTGCTAAGAATAATCGTCCCCCGTCCCACCGCCGCTGTGTCAGCAGCGTTCCCACGTGCAGCAGCGTCAACAGCGGCGTCAGCAGCGGCATCAACAGCGGCGTCAGCAGCGGCATCAACAGCGGCGTCAGCAGCGGCATCAACAGCGGCGTCAGCAACGGCGCCAGCAACAGCAGTCCGGGGTGGGGAAGCAAGAACGTCGCATCTGAACACGCCTTCGTGACGCCGCGTCGCACTTTCAGCCAGCAGTTCAGCTCTGCCGAGAAGACATCGCCTAGTGTCAATGTCGGGTCAACTATAACGGGGTACGCCTTCACTGCCCCAGCTGCTGCTTGGGCCGGTTCCGAGAGTAAAAACAGCCCCCGTTGCAACCTCAGCAGCCCCCAAAACGGCAGCGGTCGCTACAGCAGCCGCAGCAGCCCGCAGCACAGCGACAGCACCCAGAACAGCCCGTCCAATAACTGCCAGACTGGCAGGAAACAAGGACACGTGGCAGCAGGTTCCCGTACAGGCTCTAACAATGGCAAGATACCGTCAGCAAGCTCCAGCCCAGCTCATATAATCGCGCGAGGTACTACTAAGTCTACCACAGCACGAAATGCCGTTGCGAGTGCTGCAGCAGGCTCCGTTAGTAGAGGTTCTGGTGCTAAGATGGATACGGATCTCTACAGTACCGCACACTCGGATCTCTACAGTATCACTGGACAGATTTCAGCAGATTTAGTGCAAACAGTTGAAGGTGCGTCGGATGGAACTTCAGGTGAAAATTCAGGTACAACTATTGTTTTAGGTTCAGGTGGAAGGTTAGGTGGTGCAACTGTTGGTGAAGATTCAGGTGGGTCGCAGCATTTGCTGGGCGGGAGATGGCCGATTGGAGCGGCGCGTAGCGTGGTGCGCCATACGCGCTCGCAGATGATTGGCCAAGAGGCAGCACGTGCAGTGGGAGCAGCACGTGTATCACTCTCCTCGTCTTCGTCATCATCTGTGTTATCCGCCTCCCTCACTGCATCAAGACGGGTAGTATACCAGCAAGCACACCACCCCCAGCACCACAATCAGCAGCAGCAGCCGCAGCAGCAGCAGCCGCAGCAGCAGCATCGGCAGCCGCAGGGGCGGCATCCGTCGGTCATTGTCGCATCTGAAGCCACAGTTAACACCCTTCTGCCCGTCCAATCAGCTGCTAGCACAGCTTCTCCACGTGGCATGCCAGGGAGCAGTCCACGTGGCGGGCCAGAGAAGCACCTACCAACCAGAAGCAGCTCCAACGGTTACCAGTTCCAACCTTCCAACAACTTCCGTTTCCCTCCTTCCATCGTTGGCAGCAGAAGCATGCCTTCCCCCCCATCCCCCCCTTTCTGGGCCTCCTCCGTGCACTCCCCCATATCTGCCTACTCCGCCCACTCCCACATCTCCGCCCACTCCGCCCAGTCCCCTTCCCGTTCCCTCCACTCCCCTGCATCGCCACATTCCGCCCTCTCCCCCCTCTCCGCCCTCTCCGCTCCCGCATCCCTCCCGCGGCACAAGCGTGGAGGCTCTCTCCCCCTGCGATCCATCCCTTCTGTTGAAATGACTCAAGACTCCCCTGCATCAACCCACTCCGCCCTCTCTGCCCACTCCGCCCTCTCTGCCCTCTCCGCCCACTCCGCCCTCTCCGCACTCTCACTCCACAAGCGTGTAGGCTCTCTCCCCTTGCGATCCAACCCTTCTGCTGAAATTACTCAAGTGCGGTCCTCCTACGCGCCCTGCTCGCCTCTCTCCGCTTCCCCTGGTGCCTCTGCTGCTCCCTCTCCGGCTTCTGAGCCTGGGTGGTCCCGCAGGTGGGGCAGCAGGGCCTTTCACTTGGAGCTGTATAACGCGGATGCTGGCCCCTGCAGCAATCAGAATCTTGATGATTTCGGTGATCCAAATCAGCAGCAGAAGCAGCAGCAAGTTCAAAACCAGCACCGAAATCATTACCATATCCAACCCCAGCAGCAGCAGCAGCAGCAGCAACAGGAGAAGAAGAAGAATGGGCACCAAACAGAACAAGTAAAGGTGGTAGAAGGTATGAAGGGGACAGAAGGTGCGAACGCGATGGAAAGCCAAGATGAGGATGCTGATAACTCAGACGATGACTTTATTGGGCTGTACAGCGCTGTGATGCGCTGCCGTGGTGGTAAGAACAGGTGGACAGGCCACCAGCTGAGCAGCAGCAACCAGCAGAGTAGCAGCAACCACTTGAGCAGCAGCAGCATTAACGTGAGCAGCAGCAGCAACAACAACATCCTGAGCAGCAGCAGCAGCAACAATAACAATAACCTGAGCAGCAGCAGCAGCAACAATAACAATAACCCGAGCAGCAGCAACAACCTGAGAAGCAGCAGCAGCAGCCCGCTCAGTATTGGCAACCACCTGAGGAGCTCCCGCACTGCTGCACTCGCCACCCCCAGACCTCTTAGTCCTCGTGGCGCTCGCCCCCGTCCCGCTCCCCTTCATGCTGCTTCCCCGCCCATTGCCCCTGTGCCCGCTTCTCCCCCTCCTGTTGCTACCCCTGCTGTTGCTCCCACTCCTATGGCTCCCCTGCGTGACAAGAAGGGGAAAAAGGAGGAGAGGAAGGAGAGGAGGGAGGAGAGGAAGGAGGAGAGGAAGGAGGGGCGAAAGGATAAGAGAAAGGACGCAAGAAAAGTGATAAATGAGGAGAAACAGGGAGAATCGAAGGAGAAAATGAAGCAGGGGAGCAACGCTCAAGGCAGCGTGCGTGCGAGCCGCAACCAGCGTAGCAGCAGCGCGGTCATGAGGAGAAGCATATCCCTGACCACCAGCATCAGGAGCGGCCTCCGAACCAGCATCAGCAGCAGCATCGGTAGCAGCATCGGCGGCAGGCTCGGTGGCAGGTGGAGCCGGCAGCTTCGGAGGAGCTCTAGCTGCGCCACTGGCAGAGATAAAGGCAGTGAGGCAGGTCCTGAGACGCCTGAGTCGCCTCAAAAAAGCACTTGCTGCGTGGATCGCAGCGGGAAGGGTGATGAGGTACCAGAGAATGGGCAGTGGACAAAGGCACAGGTGCAGAGGGAGAGAAGTGTGGATGTGGACAGGAAGGAAGTTAGTGGGACGGAGGAGCAGCAGAGAAGGAGTGGTGGGGTGCGAAGGAGGAGTGCGAGCTTCAGCATCAGCAGCATCGCGAGCAGCATCAGCAGCGGGTTCCCCTGGTATTCCACTGACAGTGACAGCACGAGTGCCACTCCCAAAGAGAGGGTGGGTGCTGGTGCGAGGACTGGGGAAGCTGCTGGCTTTACCAGCACTACTGGCAGAGAGCGAGTGTGTGAGTTTAGAGTGCTTGAGATGAGGGGGGAGATGGAGGCACGGGATCGCGATGGAGAGGAATGTGAGGGAGAGTGTGAGGGAGAGTGTGTGGGAGAGTGTGAGGGAGAGGAATGTGGCAGAGAGGAGGCTGCGAGGGGGGAGAGGAGCCAGCAACGGTGCCCCTGGGAAGCAGCCGGCATTTCGTACCCCTTCCTGGAAGCTTCTGCTGGACCTGAGGAGAAGCCACATGGTGTTATGGATGGTTGCACGGATGGTGCTACGGCTGTCTGCACAGATGGTGGCATGCGTAATGAAAGACAGTCAACACAAGATACTTGCTCCGAGCAGCCACAAGACGCAGAGGAGCCTCATCACCAGCATAAAAATCAAGATCCCCATGCGCATCAGCATGGGCATGGGCATGTTCATGGGCATGGGCATGGGCAGGGTTCTACCTCGAAGCATGCATACAGGTTTCTCAAGGGGCGGTTGATTCAGATTGCAGCCAAGCGGGTGTCGTTCAGTGGCAGGGTGGACCACATTCCCTGATCGTTCAGTCACATGGATCCCCATGTGCAGAAAAGGTGACTTTTGAGTCGACTGAAAAGTCACCTCGTTCAGTGACATGGATCTCCATGTGCAGAAAAGGTGACTTTTGAGTCGACTGAAAAGTCACCTCGTTCAGTGGCAGGGTGGACCACATTCCCTGATGTGATCTCCACGTGCAAAAAGAGTCTCGGTATAGCCCTTACCTGGAAACAAGTGCGTCGCGCAAAGTTTGCCACCATAAGCTTGTCTATGTGTGTTTATACGTATACGTATATGTATGTGTATACATTAACTTATACCGTCATACCCCGGATAGTAGCGCAGATGCGCTTATAATAAAATCTTGATTTTATTTGGGTGCGCTTATAATCGAGTAACGGCCATAAGCGCCGGCGCCTTTATAATGGCAAAAATGAAATTTGTTTGTAAGGGTACCAAAATGAAGCTTGCAATAAGGCGAACACAACGATGTGCCGTTCACGTGGGGTCATGCATGGAATCCTCGCGCTATTCGCCGCGATTCGATTCCCCACCGCACACTTCACGTCCCAGTGCAGCGCACCTGCCAGCGCTGACACAAAAGCTGTCGTGCGGCCCAATCGGGTTGTCATGCGCGGCCAGGCAGGACAACTCATCCGAACCCTCTCGAAGGGTGTGGAATATGCCCTGCCAGCACAGCACGTCTGGTGCCATGAACCCTCCTCTGCGGGTTCAGGCAGGGTGATTTTCGTCTTTCATTGATGAGGACCCCGAGGCGCTTTCCTGAAGGGGTCCTCTTCAATCGTTCATTTCTTCATTCATGCTTTGCGTTTCCCATTCACTTTCTTGTTCACGCCCGCCTGGCTGCGGAAGCCATGGCGGAATTCACAGGCACTCATTTCCTTTTCAAGAAAAAACCTAGGCCCGCTTACACAGTTGACGCTGACGGATGGTACACACGTATCCCACCAGAACCACCATCGCCACCACAGCCTCCTGCTCCTCCTGCGCCACCTGCTCCTCCTGCGCCTCCCGCTCCTCCCGCTCCTCCCGCTCCTCCTGCTCCTCCGTATCAGGCGTTCCCACAACCGCCTGGGAATCATCCCGTGCTTACGCTCTTGCTCCCGTTCGCCTTCGACGAGTACCTGTCTGAACCGGACAATAACAAGGGTCCAGACGTGTATGTACGGGCTCCGGCACCTGCACCAAGATGGGGCGCGCCCGAAGAATGCACGTGGGACGAATCTGCCGTCGGCGCCGACGACGATGTGGCTGACGCCGCGGAAGAAGGTCGTGCCGAGGGCGACAACGGTGCCGAGGATGGCACGGAGGCCGAAACCGAGGCTGGCACCGCGGCCGATGTGTTTCCCGAGGGTGAACCAGGCGCCGCCGACGACGACGGCGTCGAATACTGGTCTCGCGATGGGCTCCCTGAGAAACTCCCGATTCCGACTTTCCCTCCTGTTAACCGCAAGCGACCTCACCCTTCTGCTGAGAATCGTGATGCCCGCCCCCCCTCTCCAGAAACAAAGTCAACCAGCATAAGCGTCAAGCTTATACTGCGCAAGAAAAACTGCAGTGGGTCGCGCGGCTGGATGTGGGGGTGTCGGTGCGCTCCTTGTCTCGAGAAAGCGGCATCCACCGGAAGTGTCTCACGGAGTGGAAGCGCGCCGCCGATTTCCTCAAGGAGGTGCACGCCGCACGGAAGCGCATGCACGGCCGCGGGAGGTCTTCATGGTACCGCCCGATGGAGCTGAAGGTGTACGAAAAGCTACTGGAGTGGCGCCGCAAGGGAACAGCAGTCTCCGTCGGCCGTCTGCAGGAGTGGTCGCACGAGTTCATGAAGCTGCTCTACCCGCTTGTGAAGTGGAAGGGCAGCCAGCGGTGGTCGGAACGGTTTCGGAAGCGGTGGAATCTGAGCGTCCGCATGAAGACGCGCGTCGCCCAGAAAACTGCAGCCCGTAAGTCTTAACCGTGTATCAAGCCTGTGGGTCGTTCCAGTTCATGTATACTGACGCATCTTCTTTATTTGCCTCGTTTTTTTACAGATGTCGCGGAGATGTGCCGCAAGTTTTGGCAGTACGTGCGTGATAGGCGGCGTGAGCGCGGCATCGAGACTACGTGGATCATCAACGCCGACCAGACGCCGCTGTGGCTGGAGATGCCCGCCACCACCACCGTGGAACAGACAGGCGTGCGGTCGGTGCCCATCCGGAGTGCGGGATACCAGAAGGAGCGCGTCACCGTGATGCTGGCGTGCACGGCGGATGGGGAGAAACTCAAACCGTGGGTTTTTTTCAAGCGCAAGACAGTGCCGAAGGGAGATTTCCCGCTCGGTAAGAAATTGCACTTTAAATGGGTTGATTCGTTGCTTTACTAAATCGTCGCTAACCACCCTGCCTGTGTATCATTGTGCAGATGTCGTCGTCGCCTGCCACGAGAACGGGTGGATGGACGCCGAAGGCGTCATCCGATGGCTGGAGGAGTGCGTCCAACCGTTTCTTAGGCCTCGATTCGGCAGGCAGGCGAGGAGCGCGATGGTGGTCCTCGACTCCTACCGCGGTCACCTCACCCAAGGGGTCAAGGACAAGTTCGCCGAGCTCAACATCGTGCCGGCGGTGATCCCGGCAGGCTGTACGGCGGAGATTCAGCCGCTGGACGTCTCTATCAACAAGTCGTTCAAGGCCTCCGTCCGCCAGCAGTACCAGAAGTGGTTTGAAGACGAAGGCCAAGAGCGACTGACAGCAGCAGGTAAGCTTACATAGAAGAACTACAGTCGTTCCTTGACATGCTCTCGTGAACCGTTTATTAAAACTGATGAGAGTGATGTGTCTCTGCCTGTTGGTGCAGGGAACCTCAAGAAGCCGCCTCCTGCGGTGGTAGTGAAGTGGATCTCGCGGGCATGGAAGGCAGTGCCCGCGGACCTCATCAAGCGCGCCTTCCTCACCTGTGGCATCAGCAACGCTCTTGACGGCAGCGAGGACTCGCTTGCCATGGCGCACAGGCGAAGCCAGCTGACTCGTGAAGTCGATGTCGATGACGACAT